AAATAAGCTTGCTGAAGTAAGCATGGCCATACTGTAACTGGCCAAACCTCTTCCAGCCTAACCTCTTCAGGCCTAACCTACTCGAGTTGCAACATTTCTCCATCCAAAACAAACCTGAGCGGACCTAACCTAATTCTATTGGCTGCAGGATGTTAGAAATGCGGTCCTAGTGTGCAGGTAGAGCCAGTCATTAGCTGCAAGAAGGGTGTGAGCCGGGACAGCGTGAATAGGTTAGGCCAGAAGAGGTAAGGCCGGAATAGGTACAGCTGGATGAGGTACTGCCTGCTTCCGAGCGAGCATGCTAAAACACTGGCTGAAGACCTCCGGCGCTATTATCTTTCGGCAGTGTGTCTCTTGTCTGGATTACGGAGTTTAAGCGTAGTCTGCGGCTTCTAGCTTTGAGGCTGAGTAAAGTAAATGCATGGTAAAGCTGGGCGTTGGCTCCAGGGCTTATCTAAGAGTAAAATTTATGGCCTACGGCTGCGCCTCCGTTCGTTCGAGGTTATTCACCCACTTAATCATTTTATAAAACTTGGGTTCACAGCCATGACGGCCAACGTTAAAATAATGACCACCTGAAGTAAGCCAGAAAACGATTATGCGTTATTGGTTGGCATTTAATTAGTTATACCAAATTACCTTTGTAGGGCAAACTGCCTGAAATAACAATATTTTAGCTTTACAATTGATTATTATCAAACATCACGTATTAAATTGAATTACTGCATTGAATTGTTGTTGCCCAGCCTGCCAATCGCTGGTGCAGAAGGAGCTCACGAACCTCCCTGCCATCGGGATCAACGCTGCGGACGTAATAAAGAACGACCCGGAATACGTGAATGGTACCATGAACTACACGTGCCCTGATGGCAAAAACACCAGCGACGGCAGACACATCCAATCACTGCGCTGCGAAATACAGAACCCAGACGCCTTTGATGTAGTGCAAATTATCATTTTAACTGGAGCACCATTCAAAAACTGCTCTTGTGAGTAATTATACAACACAGAATATAATCGATAAAACAAAAAGAAATTTAAAATAATTTGCTAGTTAATCCACTTACATGCTTGGNTAAGCAACAGCACGAACAACTTCGTGGCGACCAAGCAGTATTACGACGGCACCGGTGGCACCACGCAGGGCACAGTGACTGTCACCTGCAATAGTAGCTACGAGATGAGCGTCAATGTCGCCAGTGCGGTCATCAAATGCACCAAACTTGGCTGGGACGTCAGCAATGTTCGCAACTGCACCTTGGGTCAGCATTAGTCCCTCATAAGAAATTAAGCTTACATGTTTATTCATTTACGCAACTATAAATAATATACTCCCACTAAGGTGCATTTGCTGCAGCAGTAAGTTTAACGTATTAAAGCTTCGGAGAAAGAGATTCAACATTACTGATTAGGTATTCGGTCGGATGAGTGACACTGACATTTATTCGTTGTTCATACTACTGATGAAATTTCTAATTCATTGAACTTAATTTAGCTTCTAATGTGATCATGTATCGGAAAAGAGATCATTTTCGTGATGAGCAGCGTGCAAGACAGCACCCCCCACCACAGCACCGGGCAACAACATGACCAGGGACAATTACACCACCCGCTATGTGGGCACCATCATCAACTACACCTGCTCCGCTAGCCACTTCTACGCCAGAGATGTAATTAATACCTACTGTACTGTAAACTTATTAACAGGACCTCAGATGGTTCTCTACATGTGTGTCTCGAGAGGAACAGGAACATGCGTTATTCCTGAGATGCATCTGATCAAATATTTATTGCACCGTGATCGTATAATAAACAAAACTCAAAATGACTCTTTACTTACACTATCACTTAATTTTATCAATTAAGTCTTGTTTATTAAACAATAATTGAAAATTTATATAAATAGACCAACCCCAGCATGAATTTTACGATCAACATACCAATCGATGAGTTTACGACCACCATTGTATTTTATCTTGGAATGCAGCCAAAGTTGAGTGAAATGAGAATTAAATTGCAGGTCAATAATGTTCTGCTGTCCACTGCAAATGTGACGTGCAACGCGTCTGGCATCTGGCAACAGAGTCCCATGTTCAATAATGTGTGCACACACCGTGAGTAGTGCTTAAATAAATGTTTCCGTATTCTTCACTGTTTTAGTAATTAGATTAGCAGAGTTTCAAACAAAGTTGCCTTGTCCCACTTTTTGGGCTAAGTTTGCTGAGTAAGATTTATTTTTTATGTTAATTCCTCCGTACCCAACAAGTCCTGCTTGTGCCTAGCTCCGAACTTTTCGAGGAGACGAGGACATTTCGATGTTGTTGCGGTGGCGCTAGGAGAGAATGGGAAAAAACATGAAGTGGCACAGCGTAGCTAGAAAGAGTGAGAATAAACGGAAAATGACGAAGATAGGCTCATTGCGCATAGTTAGGTTTAGGTAGGTCGTTCTTATATTTGGATGGATTGGGGATGGATAGGGTTGGGGGAGTAAACCCATCAGGGCATTAGGTGTTTTCACGGGGGAGTGAAGGTATGGTGATGGTCGATTATTTAACATGATTACATATTAGTATACTACCAGTACAAAATAAAGATAATGCATCCTCTCCCTAATTACATGCGATCCGTTTTTTCTACTTGTAGTGTTTTATTACTTTGTGTATCTTTTTCCGCAAAAAATTATAAGATGAAAGGTGAAGGTGATGATGGCAATGATAATAAACCTGGCGAGTGCGTCGCTTAAGACTCAGGAGGTAGGTTTGGTAGTCAGTTGTTATGTCTTCAATTTTGTTTATAATTTGTGTAATTTTCGGTAAGTTTCATCAGTCCGTATTCGTAATCGGGACCAACTGCACCTGGAAGTGATCTTTACATCTGCCCTCCAAGTGCAGCATATTCCGTCGAGTAGGGAGTCACTTAGTGTGTGTTGGGTTGGTAAAGCGAAGAGAGGCGGAGGTGGGGGACCTGGTGCTAGTAGTTGGAAACTTTGAAACAGTTTGAGTTGTGCTATGGCATCTAGTGGGAATGTGAGTTTGTGAAGTACAGTATTTACGATTTGTGTCTCGCACTTTTCGTAAACTGTTTGTGATATCGCACTATTGTGTTTGTGACGAATCGTAATGTTTTGTTTTGGAGTTTTTGCAGTTTTGACATAGAGTGTTATGGAAGAGAGGGCGATATTGGATGTAGATGAGAAATTATCAGCCTTTAGAGAGGTACAGGGTGCTTTTAGTATTGGAAAGGAGGTAATGTAATCTGCGTATTTCGAGCGAATTTTGTAAAAGTTATATTATTTTCAGTTGCATTATTTTCTATTGTAATCCAGTGTGCCAAACCTTGTCCAAGGCATTGGTCGCATCGAGCGGTAGTACGTCTGTTGTGTGTTGTTTCTTGTGCTCGGTGTATGACGAGTGCTTCGTAGAACGTTTCGCACGTGTGTCATTCTAGCTGTGCTTCCTAAAACTGCGCTATCTAGTGTTTGTGTGTTTTGAATGGTGAGGTGTTCGTATATTCTGTTATTTAGTATTTTGTTAAGAGCTTCCCTTGGATGTCTAGTAGTGAAATGGGCCGGCCTGTAGTTTTGGACTTTATGTTATGAGGTTTTACGAGGAAATTTATTGTGGCGTATTTTAGTCAGTCGGGGAAATAACCAGTGGAAATGGCGTGATTAAATATGATTAGCAAGTGTCGGATCATGTTTTTTAAGTGTTCCTCTATGGTGCGGATGTGTTCGGTTTCGAGGTAATAGTCGCTCTGTGTCAATGTGTCAGTGTTTTCGGACGATGAGTACTATCTGCCTATGTAGTTAGAGGAGCAGTTCCCTAACACAGTTTGTTGGGTGTTTTAAATCTGAGAGTGTATAGACGGGTCGTGATGAGGGAGGGTAGGTATCCTTAATTCGCCCTCTCAGACAAGTCCGTCAGATTAATGCACAAGTAGGGGGACTGGGAATGGTGGGAGGGTAGGGAGCAAAAATACAAGCACATGGTAGATGTGCAATCATATATACAATAGAATGGTAGAAACAGAATCATGGAAAATATTTAAATAACAATTTCCTACTGACACGTGCTTGCGATTTTGGAGCTGATTAGCCGGAAGTCAGTGAGGGCAATAGCCCTGAACGAATGAACCACACATAAAATGTCACAGGGACCGGACGTTCCGATATTAATTGGTATGTCTTTTTTTCAGGTTGTAACTGGGAAACTATAAGCATAAGTAATGCTACCCTCTCGCCAACATTTCAACCGAATCAAAACTGGTATTCATTAAATGATTCACTAAACGTTGTATGCAAATCTGGCTACGAGTGGGCGCTCGACAAGCGCTACCAAACTATCCACTGCACAGACAGCGGATGGGACACTGCCCGGCTGCAGCCTTGTGTTACAGGTAACAGAGAGATGGTCTTCTGAATATGTACTGTTATCTGTGGCATCTACAGGTCCCAGTTGAAACCAAGGTGAAACAGGAGATGTTATGGAGAAGAAACGGTGCACAGTCATTTCACATGATGGATGCTAACAAGTTTTTCTGAAATTTATTCTGAACTGAACTTGACTTAAAAATGTCGACGATTATGCTTTTTACGGAGTTTGACGAGCGGATGCATAGAGAGGACCAATAAATGATTCTAGTTGGCCATTGGACAGAAGAATGAGCTCTTTATGTGGACTTATTTACTAAATTATTATTCAAACACCTTGCTAAAATTTTTTTGGCATATTTATCCTTCCCACACTCATTAAACTAGGATTTGTGCATGATTAGGATTTTACAAATCACACTGCAATTCGTAGTGCAAAAACATATCTATTTCACTGACCGACGCGTATGTACATGTATATGGTGTTTCGTGTATTCGTAAAGCCGACATGTATGGTTCGTGCAGCAAACATTCTTGCGTCAAATTTTAATTTACGTTCGAAAGTATTTTCGCAATTAAATCCCAGTTCAAATGTCTACACAAATTGTCTCACGTCACTTTAAATGTTCAGCGTGCAGCACGACGTCGTTGCCGTCCCCCGGCACAAACATGACTCGCAGTGCCGTGACTACCAACGCACCAGGCGCTACCGTCACCTACACCTGCGCCCCTGGATATCTCGTCACCGTCGCTGGTGTACGTTATCTATCAAGAGTATAATTTACCCTAACTTTATCTTTTTGAAGACAGAGCAATTTATTCTACATCACTGTCTCTGAAGGCATAATTCTTCTTATTATCTTATTAAGGAAATTTAAGCCTCCTAAATTCAGCAATTGGCAATGCGATAAAATTACCAATTTATTAAGAAAAGACCATGTATTGCTATATAATTTAAGTGGCCATTGTTCAGGGTCATCAGAGAACAGTAAATAAAAATACCAGTAAATGGCAACAAAAAAAAAATACTAAGGCAATTTTTCCAGGAGCCGAACACAACGCGCGCCGACGTGCAGGCAACCTGCAGCAACAACAGCACGTGGACATTCGACTACAATGTTGTAACCTACAATTGTCGCCACAGTAAGTCTCTTCATAAAGTAGTTGTTTTAGAGTTCGCATAGTTATTACAAGCAACTAACACGATACGATAGCACGTGAATATTTGATTACTAAGTCGTAACCTACGACTGGCATGCTGTAAATACATGCTGTATTGTCCGAGGTTGCGCTCAAGACATTGAACTCATTATATTAAGCTCTACCTGAGGATCGGGTTTCATTGACTAAGGTAGTGAGGGATAAGTAAGACACATAAGTCCAGATAACGTATCTTGTATAAGGGGTGGTAATACAGAGTTGCGATACAGAGGTACAGTATAAGCTACGGCATCGACCGTAAGGTCAGAGAACTCTACCGACACGCTACATCGCGGAGTGCTTATCAGCTATACTGGGGGGTTTTGCTTAAGGTTGCTAGACCTTTTATTACCTTCGCTTCCGCCCACTACTGAGGTCATGATCGCGTGATCTATCACGTGTCTATCAGATGTTGACTCGTCCTCAATCTCTATCAGGTCAAGTGAATTGACACCGGACAGTATTTTAATGAAGTGAAGTTTTATTGCATGAGTGACCTGTAGCAATGACAGTGCCTAGCAATTTGATCACGGCGTCTCAAACAGCAAATATCGCACATTAAGAAATTTTATCGATACTTTATTCAAATGGATGCAGAATTATTATAGGTATTGAAACATTTATCCAGTAGATGTATCCTATAGGACTAGGAGAAAATTATGCTATGCTAATGTTAACATAAACTTTTCGGCTGTTCAGTGAGGGTTCACTGTGGGAAGGCAGACTTTTTCAATTCAATATAGATCATATCCGTACACACCAAAAACTAAATTTCCTAATCATGATGAAATTTCTATTCTTGCTTATAACAGATAAAGAATAAATTTATTGTAATTATTTATTCTGAAAATGTTAAAATTATTACTGAAATATTAAAATGTCAAAATTATTTTTGCTTCAGACCACTGAAATAAAGTTTTCAACCAAGTGCATCGCTGTTTAATATAAAACGTTTACCTGAATTCTGTTCTCTATTTCAATTAAGGTTTCCTAAGTAATGCTCTTCATGTCACCTAAGTAGCTATAAAGTGATAATAATCTCGAAAAATTAATATCAACAATGAACGCTGGCAGAAAAAAGATAACCTAACTAATGAATAACACTTTATCTCTGCTTAATTTGTGCATAACGCTTGTAGCCGTGGTTCGGGACTGCCTCCTGCATGTAGGCAAGCAATGCTAAGCTCGGAACTCGCGCGCTACAGATGTTGTTCGAAAAATCAATCCAGATTAATATCTCAAGAATAATATTTAAGCGCTCGTTTATTCGACAGTTACTTTGCTTGCTTTTGCAGGTCTTATTTCCTATGTGTTCCGTACCTGTAGCAATACAGATAACATTATGATATAGGCGCTATAAAGTGTAGGCCTGATGTGGCCTGTCGCCGATTCTTGAACTTTTCGTGACCTGTTCACAGAATATCTACACAAATTTTCATCAGACGCTGCCACACATGTTGTTGTAACCAATTTTACATATTTATCTTAGCCGGTCTTCTCTATTCGTACTCTATACACTTGCGACACTAATCATCCAAACTCTTGACATCACGACCGTAATGCTATCTTTAACTCTATTATACCTGAAACAGCATTGTTTGGATACAACCTTAATACTGCTTCCTTATCTCCCAACTTAACGATTCAATACAGCAGTGCGTGTGCTTATCGATCTTCCTCTCGCCCTAGGTAAAGATTCATTATCGAGTATTCGTTCATTAATACTACTGTGAAAATAAACTTTCTACATTTCATTTAGAAGTGCAATTCATGATACTTAAAGATTAGTATTAGATAGATTTCAAATTTCAAAATTCAGGATTCAAAACGAAGATAGGTAGCATTGTTCGTTGACACATCACATGAAGGTTCTCAGCGCAATGTACACCAAATTGGCACGTACTGAATTTTTGCAACACTCCTCTTCAACTTCACTTCTTGTTTGTTTGTCTGTCTGTCTGTCTGTCTGTACGTCTGTCTGCTAAAAATCTTATAATCAAAATTTAACACACTTCTCTTATCCTATCGATCTGAAATTTTGCACACTTGCGTAAAGTTGGAGGCAATGCATGAATCAATTGACAGAATAAATAATTTTGAAAAAAAATTAATATATTAAAATAAATTAAAAAATTACTTTTTTAAAAATCCAAAAATGAAATTAAAAATTTATTGTACATCTGTAACATTGGAAACACTGGATTCTTTAGAAGTGTTGTTTTTAAAAAGTAATTTTTAAACGTATATTATTTATTACCATTACATTTGTTCAGCGTGCAGCACGGCAGCGCTGCCAGCGGCAGGCAGGCAGATGACTCGCAGCGTCGTGGCCAACAACGCACCAGGCGCTACCGTCACCTACACCTGTACTGGTGGATACTTCGTCACCGTAGCTGTGTCAGGAGTATGTTGACACTAATTAAGAAATTTGTTTCTGTCTACGCTTAATTTCGTGTAATTCCTAGAAAATTTATGTTTTCTAAATTGACGTTTACCTCCTACACCTGTACTGGTGGATATTTTGTCACCGTAGCTGTGTCAGGAGTATGTTGACACTGATTAAGAAATTAGTTTCTGTCTACGCTTAATTTCGTGTAATTCCTAGAAAATTTATGTTTTCTAAATTGACGTTTACCTACACCTGTACTGGTGGATACCTCGTCACCGTAGCTGTGTCAGGAGTAGGTTGACACTGATTAAGAAATTAGTTTCTATCTACGAATAATTTCGTGTAATTCCTAGAAAATTTATGTTTTCTAACTTTTGATTTGATACTTTTTTTATTTGATGCTTAACAACGTGAGGTTGTGGCACTGAAATTCATCTAAATTGGATACAACCCATTGAATATTTTGGGATTCTGTAAAATCTACTTTTTGTTGAAAATTTGAAAACAGCTTGCCAGAATTTATTTTTATTTTACGAACATTCATGTATTTGTATCTATTCAATCTCGTCCTCCCTCAGACCGAAAAAAATAAATCACAGAAAAATGTTTTCTATCAAATTTTTGCTGTAATCTTGCAGGCTTGAAATTTTAATGTGTCTATTCTCACATATGTGTGCATGAAACATGAAATAAATTGTAATCTAAACGGTCTTCTGCCTTGTAAGAAATGTAGGAATGCATGTACTTAAATATATTATATATCTATTGAAGAGTAAAGTCTTGTGATATTCAACATTGTTTCCTGTATTCTTCTGGAAACTTAAGTAATTTTCCTAGTAGAAAATTCGTAATTTTCAACTTAAAGACTAACCCATCTAACATTTCCATCTATTTCATCTCGTCTTTTCAAGTTCTATTCACATCATAATTTACTTCTGTTTGGAAAAACTTATAGATTCATTGATATCAGGTAAATGATAATTTGACGTGTTCGAAAGCAACACAATACGGAAAAAACTCCTCTAATCAGAATTATTAATGTCGGAGCATTTTTTCAGGAGCCGAACACAACACGGGCCGTGGTGCAGGCAACCTGCAACAACAACAGCACTTGGACGTTTGATTACAACGTCGTAAACTACGACTGTCGTCACAGTGAGTCTTTTCATGAATTATTTATTGTATATATTGCATACTTATTATGAGTTGTCATAAATTTGTTATGAGGCAAGAATAAATTGTTCTAAAAAGTCACTTCAAATGCAACCATGGTAGTGAATGCAACACCCAATACTTGGTGATGATCCTTCATATGAACGCTATATATTATGTGAGAAATGTTCATCAATTGTCGGCAATTAGACTTAAAAATTAATGCTTAGGAAATAACGTCCATGCATAACAACGATTAACAAATTGGGATTACAATTTTCTTTTAAAAATAAATGAATGAACAAATAGGCACATAATTGAGCATAAAATTCAGTTATTTCCATATTCTGCACATGTAGAATATTCACTTTTAATTTACTTTACTAATTTACATTATCAGACCGTCCCAGCATGTCACTTACACCAGGTCAAATACGCCATCCAGCACGGAAGAATAGATATTCATAATTTATATTTTCTATAGGAGAACTGGACATTGTAGTACTTATGAAGTTCATTACATTGAGTGAGGCAAACCCTCAGAAGGAGGCTTATTAGAAATCGTGACAGTACTTCTTAAGGGCTCCTGAATGTTTTAGAAATCTACGAATTTCATCTTTTTTGTAATGATTTGATTTTTATTTTGGATAGTTATGATTTAACTAAATTTCGATGGTAAAGCGTAATGAAATAGGAAAATGTTGCTCGACTATTTTGTCAAAAAAGTTATTACAATAAATTAATGCCGAAGCCGAGATGAATTAGTCAAGTATTCCATAATTAAGTTTTTTTAAGTATTACACATATGAAATAATTTTTCCGAACAAATTCACTAATTTCAATCAATAAGACAATCGCAATTATGTTTCTGGATAAATAATTTAGTTCACTGTGAATTAAAAATTCACGAAAAGTTCTTCTTTACTATTGATTGTCAGGATTATTGATACATCACATACTTCATTGGGTTAATTAGGGCTACCTAATTTGAATTTTATTCCAGTTGATCATTTGGCAGTTCTTAACCAAAAATTTTCTAGACGTCGATTTCCTGGTAACTTCTTGATTGAACTCTTGCAGCTTGCGAGATCAACGACGTCAACATCACGAACGCCGTCTCTGACTTCAACAAGTCCGCGTCGTACTCAGACACGGGTGGATCGAAGCTCAACGTCAGCTGTATTGATGGCTACGAGTGGAAGTTCAAAGAGCGAGTGCAACAAGTTCCTTGCACCTTGGACGGTTGGGACTCGACTAACTTCTCTCCGTGTTATCAAGGTAAAATAATTTCAATTTTCAGAAGTTTCAATTAGTGAATTACTTGATTAATATGGCCTTTTATGATGTATTCATCAATTCAACCTTCCATCTCTATTGATACTACACTCTTTCTTGTATGAACCAGAGGCTTATAGGGGAAATTTGAAGTTTGTCACACAAATCGGAGCGCAACGTATGACAGAATATAAAAACATTATTTCATCTTATATTAATATGTTTAAAAAAAAGTATTCATCAATATTAACCTTTGTACAGAATTGCACACTGATGATAGGGGCCACGGCTATAACCAAAAAAATGCGTAGTAACACATCCACACGACAACATTTCTTCTCGCTTCGAGTCCCCGACATGTGGAACAGCCTCCCTGATAGCATCGTTGACGCCCCGAGTATGAACGCCTTCATGAACAGACTAGACGAAGCTATGCAGGAGCATATGTTCAGTCTTGAAATGACTAGCAACTTACGGATCAGGCAATAAGTCCAGCAGCTATCTCAATCAATCGTCAGCTATGGAAAGATCGGGTTCCAAAGGCCGGATCCCTTGTGAATCAAGTCACGAAAAGTTCAAGAATCGGCAACAGGCCATGGGCCTATTTCTTCAATGCCGACACTTCTATTCTATTCTAATTGGAATTTGTTTCCACAGCGTCAGGCCATGGGCCTATTTCTTCAATGCCGACACTTCTATTCTATTCTAATATGAATTTGTTTCCGCAGCGTGCACTGAGAATCCCCCAACAGCTGGGGAAGATATGGACGATCCGGCCTTCACTAACGATTCCATCGGCGCCATCTTGCTGTACAAGTGCCAGCCTAACTACTACATAAACTATACCTACGTGAGTGACAATATATGCATTCAGTCATATGCAATGAGAACTATCTTTCAAAAATTGTTCATCAATCAATTTAGTTCACTACAAACTTTTTAAGCTTTAACTTTTTTAAACTTTAATTTTTTTAATACTTTTTACCGAATTTACTAATTGATTCCAAATAACTTCTATTAATTGAGGAAAAATAAATAATGAATTACCAAATTAATGACGATTGAGGGCAGCGGCAGCAACGGCAGCCTGACGCAGTTTGTTTCTGTGCCCATATTTCCGCTCAAAAAAACAATGTTACGTGTAAAATATTATTAATTTGTATGGGATTGTGTGGCAGATGTTGGTGCCTACCAACACTAGCAGCGGCAGCAACGGCAGCCTGACGCAGTTTGTTTCTGTGCCCATATTTCCGCTCAAAAAAACAATGGAACTCACGTGCTCACCAGACGGCAACTGGACCAAGCAATACCCCGACGCTGACATCAGATGTTATCACCGTAAAGTTCTACCTCAAATATATTGGGTTGTAATGGGGTTATGCTTGTAAAGTATATAGGAGCAATATTAGAGCAGAACAGTTGCCAGTGTGGTAGATAACTTACCGTAATCTCGAAGTTTACCTCTGAAATACTGCGATTCAATTTTTATAATGGAATACTGATTATATAATTGGCTGAAAAACAAAGTTGGCAGAGAAATAAGATGTCAACTTTCAAAACAATTTATGGTATCAATACATAATTTAATCTCTCAATTTCTGATTGAGTAAACTTTTAATATATCTTTCACTTTTTCTTGCTTATTTTTTGGGAGAAATTTTGTTATTTAAATACAAATATATTTTGTTAAATTAAATTGCTCAAGCTATTGCTGATTGATTACATATGGATGAAGTTAGTTCGTGGTTTTAATTATATTTGGTGCAATAAATAGGCCTTACTATACCCTTTACGTCGTTTTTGAATACAATTAGTTTACGTTGAATTAATTTCATATCTTGATTTCTCTTCTCCATGACAGCTTGCATGATAAAACTACCGACATTGGTCAACTCCTGGTCAGACTTCAACTCGTCCAAGAACTACTCCGATGCCAACAATCAAACTCTCTCTGTCGAGTGCCTACCTGGATACGAGTTCGCCTTCAACAAGACCAAGCAAGTTCTGACCTGCGCGGCGTCTAAGTGGGACGACAGAAAACTCTTGCCTTGCTACAAAGGTCAGTGCAGTAACCATGTATATTGAAAATATACTGCACCATACAGCACTGGATAATTAAGCTTATGGATCAACTTGTGATCCTTGAACAGACATGTGAGAATAATCAATAACACAAGAAATTTTACAGCATTGCATTACTTCAAAAGGAGCAATTTTGTTTCAACTGTCAACTTTCTGTTCTTTGCACAACATTTATTGCTTAAAATCTATCTTATTGAAGTAAATAATGATGGCAGTGTAGTAAATTTTAGAACAGAAATCAGTTAATCATCAAACAATTATTCTCATTAATCAGAAATCACAATTCTTTTTTTCAATGGTTGCAGTGTGTCTGGATCCAATTCGGGAAGCTGGAGAAGAAATGACAGTGGGGAACGTTACAGCAAATTCCGTCAACACCACCATGACTTACGCGTGTACGAAGGGACATCACCTGAACACTACTAAGGTGTGATGAATTAACATTGACATATATTAACATTAGCATGTTTAATTCAAAGCCTGCATTCTATTTAAATTTAGCCTCATCCTCAATGCAATTTATTATTTAAGCTGTGTGTTCATTTCTCTATTGATATATTAAGGCACATTTCCTGTAGTTAAAACGAGATCGAAACTAATGAAACAAACTGTTAATAGTAGTTAAATGTGCCGACAAACCTTCTGGGCCTCCCCTCTATTGGGTGTAATTGGACGAGATAATTCCGAACATTGCAGAATGGCCAACCTTGCTCAATACCAGCCGTGGAAAAATTCTGCAGCCGTTTGAAATTTTAGTCATAATTATAAAATTATAAGCCCACTTAAGCCGAAGGTATACATTGATATGTAATTTAGCTTCTACTTGAAGAAAGAAAGTGGGCGCAAGTACTAAGTAAAACAAAAAATTAAAATTGAAAGAGAGAGTTGCTTCCATTTAAAATATGAGCTTGATAGCATTCTCGCTTCTATGAAAATCGTGAAATACTAAATACGGAATAATAGCACAATTAAAAGAAACTGGCATAACCTCACATGTCTGAAAATTTTTGCTGCTAGTAAATCCAACATTTGTGCAGTTTTTTTACGCTAGCACTATTCATCCGAAGACACGATAATTAACTTATTAAATTCAATTCTTATCTGTCCTGCACTTCCAAATGCAGTCATAGAGCTGATTAGGAATATTTAATAAATTGTAATTCAATTTGTACATTAATTCAAAGTTATGTGTATTTTTTGTCATTTATACTTTTTTCCATTTTATTCCTCCTTCATTTCATCAGACTAATTCATTGACAAGGTTATATTTAATTTTCTCTTGTTTCTTATTCAGAATAATTATTCAGAATAATTATATAATTCATATTGCCTACGTCGCTCACAATTTGATTGAATTCAAAGCAGTTATATGCATAGTACATTTGTACATTTTCTTTACATATGATCTGAAAAATGGGACAAAGAATTATGTCAAGACGAGTTTCAAAGCTTCTATTTTCATGAGTTTATATCACAATCAAGTAATAAAATTTTATTTTGGGCGGGTTTCAAATTACCTATTTTTTACTGGTAAGTTTTCTTTTAATTATTGAAATTGTGTAGCTGTAACATGAGAAATAATAATGCTAATGGACTGAAGGCGTGCACCCAACCAGTTTTTGTACTGCCTCTATAACGACGCTGACGGCCCCACAAGAGAAGACATTAGCAGCTCTAATGGTCTCATGGGGGCACCGTGCAAACGAGACTTATATTCAAATTCAACCGTTCATACCTTATAATAAAATATTGTTTAACAATAATTGGGCAACTGGATTATTTTATACTGGTAATAATATTACGAATCAGATTGAGATCTATGACACATTTTGGAGAGCGTTTACCAATAATATTATCGTTTGTGCGATTCGATAAGTATTTTTTTTAATAAATACAAGCTTAAAATATTGGTATGAATGAGAAACATCATGGTCAAATGTTGACACCTCTTCAGGAGTTCCCTGAGCCAGCGACGGCCGCTAATGTCACGTGTCGTGATGATGGCAACTGGACCTACGACCGTGACGACCTACAGTGCGTTACGAGTGAGTGTTGCGTCGTGATTAACTTTTTTATAGCATATTAATCAATGAATATATTTATTTATTGAATATATTATAAAGTTCTTTGGCGGGAACGTTTGGGATATTCTATTGGTTTTGCCCCAGAACGTCATTTGACGAGTTTGGCATCAACTGAAATTCGTACGGCAAAATTTCAATTTACAGGACTAGTTTCAGTGAGTTCTGGTTTTGAGCAAGATTACGTACGGGCCAAGTGTGTACCATTCAATTTTTTACTTTTAGAGTTATGTGACGAGGCCAGTAGTGTCAAAACATTTCGACCTGGTCAGCAGGAAATTAATGATTCAGTTTACTCAGCAAAGACGGGAGGTTACACTGAAATTTCGTTTCAAACAGTGTAGCGTAGAACATAATAACTCTGTGTATCTTGTTTCAAGTTAGTAACATAACGTAACATTACATAACGTAGTGATGTCGGCGCTGAGTGTAGACCTGATGTGGCCTGTAAGGCTTGTTTTATTTATTATAAGTAATAGGCACATTCCAAATGTAATTGACATTAATAGAAAACACTAACAAATATGCAGCCCTGGCAATGCATTAATGCTGGTTGATAATGTTAAGCCGCTGAGAAGCAGACCTCATCAAGGGACTGAGGCAATGTGGCATTGATGATAAGCATAACTGCTTGTACAACAGTTTCATTTAGCGAGTAAACTTAAATTTTTAACATTGAATAGGTAATTTCCTTATTCTCCATTCAGACTTGAAAGATAAACATGCATGCAATCATTCTTATCTATATATTTTTATCTTTTGTGTAGTTTGGCAGAAGCTGTTCTTTAATGCAGGTTTCATTGAAGACCAGAGAGTATTTCTTATTGACAATTTTCTTATTGTTTTTTATTACTATTTATCTCTATATAATATAAGGCAATATCGGAGGTCATACCTTCTTTGCTTGATAACTGATCCTGTAACAGTTTGCACGGGCGAGCCTCCCGAGCCCATAGGCATCGCAATGACTGACTGGAATAACTACACCCGCATTAATGGGACATCGGTGAGTTGGGAAATCAATAATAGCCAGCAGTGAAACATTTCTGGAAAAAAAAGATGAACCAATTCAATATCAGAGTATCTTGAGTTTTTCTTACTTTTTGTTGTATAGTTTGTCAACATGGTGTTCACGGTTAATTAAGGTAAAGATGCCTACTGATTTGCCGTCTAGAGAAATTTATTTTCAAAATTTATTTTTTGCTTCTAGGGTTGTGATATCTTGTTTGTTTAATTCGAATATTATTTAAACTGACTGCACAACACTTTAAACTAGTTTTAGAAAACCAATTCATTCGTTGGCAGCTTCTTCCCGTGAAGCATTGATGTTACATGATGTGACTTGGTAATGTGGTAATTTCCATACATTTTCTTGTTTGATACCAAGCGAAACTTTTTATTGCTCCATCACTACGACCGCAAATCGATAAGTTAGTTTCCCAGAACATAGTTCTTCTCAGGTTGAATTTTAATACAATCGAAATCAATAGAAAATTATTCTACTTGACTGATCACTTAATGTACCACCATACAGAACAATCGGTCTCGAGTTTTAGATTTTGAATTAGAAAATCTTTCAACTTGAGCAAAATATTAGCCTTATTCTTACTTTAAAAACAACAGTGGCTTCCAATAAATATTTTCCTTATTGTTCTCAGATAATGTACACTTGTCCTGGCAATGGAATTTTCGGTAACATGAAATCAACTTTTGAAAGTATCTGTGACAACGGAACGTGGACTTCATTCTCGGAAGATTTCAGAACCTGCGGCTTGCGTAAGTTTAAGCGAATATATTACATTAAATACCTCAGCTTCGAATCAAGTTGGGTCAAAATAACAAACCACTGCGCAATGCATGGAAGCTGCGCCGTCCTACATTTTCTTAACTTCTGTTGTATTTACGTCATCATATCTTACAGTCGGTGAAAAATGCTCATGACCCCACGTCGAATTGTTTTTTTTCAAAAACGATATATTTTCGGTCTACCCACTTTGTCAATTTCCAATACCACAGATGAGCAATAATTTTTGTTCATATCAACATCCGATTCCAAGTTATGTTTACAGTATTACAATCGAAGAATGCGACTTTCCTAAAAAAAATCCTACTAGAATTAAACATGCCTTTCATTTTCAGTCTGCACCAGCAGCCCACCAACAAACATAAGCAACACCATCCCAGTGAACAACACCGGCTTCAGAGAGTACGACAAAATACGCTACAACTGCCCCCCTAACACCGCCAGCTTGCTGGGTGAACGGTACATAGAACTGCAGTGTCAGCCCGGCTCAGGCTGGAACGTAACCTCCTCCACTAACGAAACCATCGAGCAAATCTCAAGCAGATTCACATGTTTTGATTGTGAGTCCATGTCTTCCTAGATACTTCATATAGGCGCCTGAGTCACCTCTAAGCCGACTGTAGGTACTCTGGGGCGGCCGCTAATGGAACGTAAAACTCGACTTGGATGATACATTTTGGCATAACTTGATAATGATACATTTTGGCATAACATTTGTAACGCACTTGTTCGCATAATAATGTCTAAGCATTACTACTCATAGACTGATGATCGTACGCGATAGCTTCGTTTCATCAGTAAGCTTCCATTCTTCGTACTCAGACTATTTGCGTGCCTGTTTTATCTGAAAATCCCGGTAAAATGGTGTTATAAATCTGAAAAATTATCTGTAGCGCATGGATCTGCGTCTCGAAATTATGACTTGCTGTACAAGATGGATTTAAAATCTGTAACTTTACTCGTGTGTACAGCATGCCCGGGACCCGCAGTTGCGCCCAACACCAACTGGCAGAGCAACTGGACTTCAGAGTTCGTGAATGGGACGGTGATCTACTACACTTGCCCCAACACCTCCTACCTCACCTCGGGGAACGACCATCAGCTCATCAACACCTGCAGCAACAACTCCTGGACCTTCCTTGGAATTCCATACTGCATGAGTAAGTACTTGCATTTGCCATTCCTTAAGCAATATATGCATGAAATTAAATAGATTTTAGTTGCAAAAGAACCATACGGTCCTTTCCAACTAAAATATATTTAATTTAATTTCGAAAGAACCATACGGTTCTTTTCACCAAAACTCATACGGGTTTTGGTGATTTATTTGTCTCTCAACCACTATAATTGTCAGAACAGACTAGGAAGTAAAAAAATACGTTACAAACGACCTTCTTCTCAAAATTGCTTTTTACACATCAAGTCTGAGAAATTGATCTCTACAAATACCTTGCTAAAGTCTGTGAGTTTTTCAAATTGTTGTTCAAAAAAATACCATTTATGCATTATCATCATTAATCACAAAATATTTATTGCATGTACAAACAAATTAATGTGAAATTTTCAAACATCAAATCTGTAGTTAATCGACATAGGTCCCAACTCATCTTTCGATCGATTTATTGTTCTGCACCTTTGTCAAAGTGGCAAAGTAAGTTTAATGACATGCATGGGGAGTCCATTTATTACTAACGGTCCGAGTTATTCAGCATTTGAATTCATTTAAAAACTGAATGCAACATTCCTGTTATGTTCGACTCTGTTAAATCTTATCGTTTTGCAATATTTTTGACAATAATTTGAGTTTTTTCATTGATTCCTTCTTACCAAATTTTTTCCCTGAATTAAGGTGTAATGAATTAATGTCTAATCTCTTCATTTATAATAACACATTCTCTTCCTGTTCCAGCTAAGATCTCTACAAGTATATGCATTTCTGGATTATACTAATTTATTTCATCAATCAACACTTCTCAGAGTTTACAAGGAAAGATAACGTCATGTACCATCATGTCATCACAATGTCATTGAAGGGATTAAAACCTAAATATCATGATAAACGGGTAAAAAACGCCAAAATCTATCTATAATGGCGAGAGTGTAAGAACTATAAGTGTTATTATTAGAAGGTTCTCACTTAAAAATGTGCAGCGATTCCAAGATCCTTAAATATTGTGGATGGAAGGTAGAGCAAATTTTTATAGCCGCGGTGCATCAATGTTTGGATCTCATTCAATTTCAAACGAAATTAGCAGACAATGAAGTAGCTCGTCATATAACGAGTTACTATACACAAGCCAATAAACGAGCTGACCACTAGATATTGTGTGCATATTGTCAACAGTAAACTGGCTTTTCGCAAGAAATTTGGATACCGTTACCAAAAAAGTAGAAATCGAAAAATTTTCAGGCAGTAAAAATTTCTTGCAATCGAGAATAATTTCCAGATTTCAAGTTCCACTTCTGATGCCTTAGATTTCAGGATGTTTCAATCTCTGCGCATTTTAAAACTGAAACCTTAGATTAACCATGCATACACGTATTATTTTGTTGAAATTATCAATCCATGACATTTCGCGTCATCATCAGCCCAGTTATCTGGATGTTTAGGTTATAATCACTTCTGTGTGAATTTGGTCGTTCTAATGGTCATATTTGTATTGATGAAATGTTAAAGTGATAATGGTGCTGGTCTCCGGGAAAGTTTTCATTAAATTATGTTTAACTATTTAGCATTATCGTTGTTCTTATTTAATTTTCGTGTTAAGTTAACTATTGATCTAAATGAGTTCTGTGTATTGATCGTAATGCTTCCTCATTTTTCAGCAAGTTCCATTGTCAAGCTTTAACGGCCGGAAGCCAAATTTTCTAGATAATTTGTCTCTTTCTTTTAACGCTTTTCTTCAACATACATCAAATGACACTCAATTAATTCAAAATTCATACGGTGTCCGTGCCATACGAAATGCTCACTGTACTCGTAGTTAGTACGAGTAACTCTATTGCTAGGAGCTCAATTGCATTCTTTGATGTTATTGGGCGATATATTGTTTCCTGACACTACAATGAGGCACAATATACAATAAGGCCTATCCAGGCTACAATAAGGCCTATCCAGGCCTATTCTTTAAATGCCGAAGATACTATACAATATAAGCGCAATACGAACTGACATGCACAGTATACACTGACACAACAATAAGATCCGATGACACGCACACAATGACACTCACACAATAATAAAGTTCATGTGTTTTATAATAAATTTTTCTTATGTTCGTGTGCGTGGTGACGCCTGGCAAGAGTGTGAATGACATGTTGGTGGTGGTTCGTGATGAACGAGGAAAAATATTATTGTTGCAGCGATTGTTTGATCTGTGAGACGGATGAGACTTGGATTTATTTTAGTGATATGATGAGCATGTTCCCTAAGTTCATATTTATAATAACGTGTTATGAAAATAAATATAGCAAGAAAATTATTTTTTTACTTTCATTGTACTATTCCTTGATTCGAGGCCAATTCGTTTGGAATAGAAAGTATACATAATTGTTAGTAAAAAACAATCTTTATTATTGATTTTCATTCCCCTTCTATTTCATTTCGTTTTAATGAGCGACAAACATCATTGAATCAAGTTTCCGACAGTGACCTGTTCCTCAATGTTCTTGTAAAAAGACACCTGCGGGTTATAAATTCAACAGAAGTACGTTGAAGTTAAAATGGCAACATGAATTCTGGCACCGAATCTGCTTCATAGTTGCCACTAGTATATGAAGGGAAAAGCTACATTAAGCAATGAGGCGTTTTTACCATATATTAATCTGTAAGATATTCTGGCTTTAAATTCGAATAAATACTAGATGTTTCAAAATCCTCAATATAATTCAATAACTAATGAAACTAGAAGGCATCACATCAGAAAACTAGAGAGTTTCCAGAGTCTGGTGTCAGACGTGTGGTCGCCGAGGGCAGATTTGGCTTGCGTGTTGCAGGCGACGCGCCGCGGAGTTCGGGTGCAAAGGAAACTAAGTCTCGCGTAAAAATTTCTACGCATGGGGTTGAAATGTTGTAATTAAAATGAAATGTTGTAATTTCCAGTATTAATATTGGTTATATTATCTCGAAAACTAGGGTTATTTTTTAAAATAACGACCAACATTTTAAACAGAAAAATTTTTCATTCCTGAAATTGATTGTGGAGCTAATTCTTTACAAAATAAATATTATTCAAATGAATAATTTGAAAATAATAAAAAAATATTTGAAATTCCTATTAGCATAACAAATTCCTCATTGCTGTCGTAAAATGGGGTTTCTGTAAAAATTTACATTCGTTTCGAAAGCGTGCAGCCATGAAAATTATAAGAAATCTAAAAATCCGTTTAGAATGCAATGCATTGCATGAAAAAACATAGTGTTTTTGATGCAATGACTTTCGAAATTAGTTTTTGTAAATAAATTTCGTCGTATTTTAATTTCAAAATGTAGCTTTCCGTACATTCAGGCTTTTATTGCCCCATCAGTTAAGAAGAGCGATTATCTCAGTCTGTTACCTTTACTAAAGCTTTACTTACATGTTTACTCAGTTGAAATTCCAACACGATGTCTGCAACTATTTTGGCAACACGGTATTTTTTCGTACATTTTGAAAGCTTTCAATAAGAATGACAAATGTTTTTTCGGTGAGTTGGGTGCCCACGCTGGTATAAAACAATATTTAGTCGCTTTATTTTGCTATTGGAACTTTGGAAGTACATCAGTAACATCACAAACGCTGTGCAGGAGGACGGTGGGCGGAGAGGAAACGAAAATCGAAGGCGTAGAATAATTCAGATGCAATGCTGCATGAAACACGCTCATTCTAGACTTTTTTCAAATCGGTTAACTGGTGAAAAAAGCTGGCCCTCATTTGCCCTTAATAAGGAAAATCAACGTAAAAATCTCAGGCAGCAATTTCCAGTTCAATTTATAAAATTATCTTCGAAGTAAATGGAGCCAAATTTCAACAGTGATTTAACCATAATCGTTCTTTTAAACTGAAAATCTGATATCGAAATCACAAAATTTGCATTTATCATTACAATCGAACAAGTTGAGCGCTAATTTTTTTAGTCATCCTCAAAAAAATTTCTAACTTGTACTGATAGAAAAAACTTTCAATTTGTTGGTATACTAAGCAGTTCGTGTTCTGAATACTTGATCGGAAGTATTTAGATATTGAAGATAAATTTTACATAAAATATCAGAACATGTTCTTGAGATAATAATATTATGAATCAGATTGAGATCTATAATACATTTGAAGATCGTTTACCAATACTATTATCGTTTGTGCGTTTCGAATGATTTCGAATGAATGGCCCGGGAGTAACAGAGTAACACAAGGATCGATCTGCTGGAATATTATACGTTTATTACATTAAAAACTGTACTACATTTTTTGATTGGGAATATTTACGTCTTTCCGAGTGCTTGACTAAGATCATATCGCATTAGTGTATTTTTGTAAAATCAGTTTCAACATACTCTATCGTCAGGACTTTTTGTGTTGGGTCAAGCTAGTAAACGGGAATTGTGGATTGTTGGAGAGGTATAAGCTAAGGTAGTTAGTTAAATGAGACACGTGGTGATGAAATCATGATGCCACGTCTCAGCTATGATTTGGAATCCTGAGGCTTTTCAAGAGTGATTGCCGACCGACTGTCGTCAATTATTCTAAAGTCTTGTAAGTGAGTAAAGAAACTCTTTGAAAACGTAATAATAATTGTTCTGTTACAACTTGTGTAAATTTTCGTTAATCTGTGCCGTCCGGCTTCTTGGATAAAACTATTTAAGTGGACTTGAACTGACGAATATATATTGTTCTTCAACGATTTTTTCAGGGCTAGGTTCGCATATTCATTGCAAGGCTCGTCAGCTCAAGTGCGAATTATTAATTTGATAAGTATGTTCTGCCGAGGCTAAACCGACAGCTGTCAAGCATCTTCATCTTAAACTCTAATTGCTATAACAGAAGGCACGAAATTAAATCGTAAAAACCGTTTGTGAACACAATCGCTTATCGCCGTCGGATTTGAACGCTTGACAGCCGCCCTGATGCTAATGTGACGCGGGACATGGCGGTAAGAAGGGTCCAGGGCCTATACTTTCAATAAAAGTTAAGAGATCGTAAGTTCATCAGCCAATCATTGGCGGCCTTTCAAGCAAAATCCACCAAAGATCCTTATAAAATCGTCATAGGTGTGTAGTGTGTAAATTTCCGATTAACTTACTGTCATGTGGAATTAGTTAATGAATTATTTATAATTCATACAGTAACTGTAAAATTGTAGATGTGATAATTATTCAATTGGCTTCATGTAATTGGTAAATGGAAAAATCTGCGAGGCAAAGTTATAGCGAACATTTACATCTTCCATTCCGAAATAAGAAGTAAATTCAGCGCGCAACAACAAGATATTGAACCCCAGCTCCCACACCACAGCTCCCACACCACAGCTACCACTCCACAGCTCCCACACCAGCTCCCACTCCACAGCTCCCACACCACAGCTCCCACACCACAGCTCCCACACCAGCTCCCACTCCAGCTCCCACACCACAGCTCCCACACCACAGCTCCCACACCAGCTCCCACACACCAGCTCCCACACACCAGCTCCCACACACCAGCTCCCACACACCAGCTCCCACACACCAGCTCCCACACACCAGCTCCCACAATTTTAATATAGGGAAATCGGTTAAATATAATATTGAAAATGTACATTGTTGTGCACTTCCAACGCAATTTAGTGCAATCAGTGAACGAATTTAATATAAATTACAGAGGTTTCAACTTACACTATATGCATTCAAAAATGTCATTCTAATATATAACTATGAATTCAAATGATAACATTGTTGATCATCAATAGACATTTTTTGTTGATCATCAATAGACATTTTTTGCGAAACATTCGTGTTTAGGCTGAAAAACTCGCTTCTTGAATGACTGAATTGAACGGAAATGTTTCTTCCGACGTATAGTTTATAGTGTTCAATAGTGTTCAATAGTGGCTATTGAACACTATTGAACAGTTTCAAATTGTTCAATAGTGTGTACATTAGTGTAATTGTTGCTTGAATGACCTTGCTACGTTCTGCGGAGCATCTTCAGTAGTAAATGTGTTAATGTAAAAATCGGCAAGGACGTCGGGTTATAGTTATCATGCCTTAGTCCTTCAACTCGTCTCAGGCTTGTTTGCATTAGAGAATTATATATAAATTTTACGTGCTACCCTAGTCCTGGGCGTTGCTTATTTCAAAGTCGGGCCCACGTCCAAATTTTTTAGGGTAATTGCAGTTTGAATTTTAAATCAATTATTGAAGAGATTGTAATCATAGACAACATTATATGTGACTAGCGTGCGATTGAAGTTCGGTAAATTGCGGTGACATCATCTGACAAGGTCACACATTTGCCTTGCTCGGACCTTATTGGCTCTTGCATGTATACATCAACTTCACGAACGCTCAGTCAATTCCTTTTAAACCTTTTTGCTTCTGCTGCATTCGTGGTGGCCAATCTCCATGCAAACAATTGTACGAAATTAAACCTCTCCTTTTTGGCGTAAACTTCATAAGGTTTATCTCTTGGCTTTGGTTACCGCAGAGCGAATTCCATGGTCATCTTCCCGCTAAACACGATTTTTTTATTTTGCTTGCACACGCTGAACGCGAGAAGTTCAAGCAAAATATTCGTCGGTAAAACCGAGTGCCTCAGTCACTGTTGCCGATTTTTTTTTCTTATTCCTATTATTTTTATTCTGAATACTTTATCCTTAATCAGCAGGCTGCAACACTCAACCATAATTGGGAAGTATACACTGGATAGAAAGCATATTCAGTTCCTCATTGATAATTTATTCTACCATATAATTACGTAACTACATTCGCCGCACCACAAAGCCCCAGCTGAGATCAAAACGCCAAATGGTGATGGGGGCAAATGGTGCTTTGAAATGTTGCGTTTAACATTGAAGGATCTCGAGTTTCCTGGGTATTATATGACTGGCGTTTCGTAGCATATGTTTGCCTGAGGCTGAAGATGCCATCAGCGTACAAATATGTACATACAGACGAGGTCAACTAACATGGCAGTTTGAGGTCGCGCGCGGCCGTGAACGGTTGTTGGTCCGTTGGGCGCCAGAAGCGCTGCGAATTAAGGCATCTTTCTGGATTGTGTTCCACAGGAACACACTACGTGGTCGGACATTACGATGCAAATTTCATGCGAGGAGCGATCTTCACCATTTATCTCTTAAGTCGAATTGCGGAATAAAATATCTAATTTTTCAGTTTATTTTATACTAATAAGTATTTATTAATTATTCGATGCATTTTGCTTTTTATGCTTAAGGAAGTTAAACTTAAAGTAATTCATGTTTGTATACCACTTCAGACTTTAAATCAAATATTTTTTTTACGAAGGCCTTAACTTGGGTGTAATCTTGCGGCAGAGGTCACCGACTAATAATCTTACGCAAATACAAATGTACGCCAATATACTAGGAATAAATTAGTCGCGACCTTCTGGTAAAGATTTATCTGTAGACTTCGAGCCATCAGCTACGTCTGCAGACGAAAATGATTACTTATTACAGTTATATTAACTGCGTTTACATCGCATGTTAACTAGTTTTACTCTTTTTAATGTTAAAGACACATAACAGTTGCGAGTTTTCGTCTCTTGAAGGTTCCTCAGACGTGATAAATGGCATGTCAGTCGTAGACAGAAGCTCTGTATTCGTGGACAGAGGCTCTGCAGTCGCGGACAGAGGTCCGGTAGCCTCGGACTGAGGCCCTGTAGCCTCGGACTGAGGCCCTGTAGCCTCGGACTGAGGCCCTGTAGCCTCGGACTGAGGCCCTGTAGCCTCGGCCAGAGGCCCTGTAGCCTCGGACTGAGGCCCTGTAGCCTCGGACGGAGGCCCTGTAGCCTCGGACTGAGGCCCTGTAGCCTCGGCCAGAGGCCATGTGGCCTCGACCAGAAGCCCTGTGGCCTCGGACTGAGGCCCTGTAGCCTCGGACTGGGGCCCTGTAGCCTCGGCCTGAGGCCCTGTAGCCTCGGCCTGAGGCCCTGTAGCCTCGGCCAGAGGCCCTGTAGCCTCGGACTGAAACCCTGTAGCCTCGGACTGAGGCCCTGTAGCCTCGGACTGAGGCCCCGTAGCCTCGGACTTAGGCCCTGTAGCCTCGGACTGAGGCCCTGTAGCCTCGGACTGAGGCCCTGTAGCCTCGGACTGAGGCCCTGTAGCCTCGGACTGAGGCCCTGTAGCTTCGGCCAGAGGCCCTGTAGCCTCGGCCAGAGGCCATGTAGCCTCTGTCCGAGATAACATATTTAAAGTTAACCATAAAACTGCGGTCGGCACGACACGGCCGCCTGAAACGTGCGTTTGATTTGATAAAGCGTTAAATGACCTCGCAGAAAATTAATTGACAGTCGTCGTCATTAGTGAAGCGCTGCCTCATGCACACGAGCCATCCTTCCTTACGGCAGATGGGAAAGTGAAAGCTAGCGGGGCATCTCTCACGTATCAACAATAAGCCTCTTTGCCACTGACGAAAATTACATTTTTTAATTTATGATTCTTTATGGCAGTAATTTTTCATTTTCACTTCACTAAATTTCACTATCGTGGTAGGTGACATTAATTTAGGGTGTTGCATGGGGTGATATATTATTTCGAGAGTAGTTAAAAAAAGATGCGTGCAAAATACCTTTAACTACGCACGAGTGAATATTTTATAGAGCTCTGGCAAGCAATAATGGGGAGAAATTTCAATAAAGTTATTTTGGAGTTCAGCACTCTGTAGATAAGCAATATGTTCCACGAAAGAATTATGTTGTGTATTTTTTGGACAGCCTACTATTTTTCATGATAGTTGTCTATTAATTTTCTGATTTCATACATTCATTACAGACCATGGTACAATGTATGGTAAAAATCGTTAAAGACAGATCCTCCTCATTGGAAAATTTGAAACCTTACTCATATTATGCCTACGAAATTGAAACGGAAAAGTTTTGATGCCCATCAGTGATGAGGCTGAATCTTGTGATGCGAGTGACGTTCATTTTCTTGACAGGCGTCGTGGTTACGGGCGTGCTGCTGCTGTTGCTACCAGGTCAGTCGCATCTCCGATTAGTTTAACGTGCAAATATCTTCTGATGTATTCATATTTTCAGGCAAAATTTTTCGGAATGTGAATTATTGTAAACACAGAAGACGTTAATATTTGTTAGCGAGTTGAAGTCGAGCACCAAAAATAATCCTCGATACACTAAGTGCAGATTAAGCATATCAACTTTGAATTTAATTTTGTTTAAGAATAACGTCTTTACTTTTATTTATTTTCAATTAATTTCTAAGGTTTTTCCCTTCATGATTAGGATACGATGCGCTAGGTAATTAACCTTAGAAATCTTACCATAATGTAACGAAAACTTGACTATTTAGTCAAGCTCATCCTGATGAACACGTTGCTTTCTTAACATTTAACAAATTGTTTTCTTAGTCCTTAAAATTGTGCTGAATATGCAGATACCGTCTGGTTAACACGTCCGTTTCGTTACTTTCTAGACAGCGATATTGTATACGCTAACGTAACGACATTAAAGAATTCCATTTCCATTATTTGATTCCAGTCACATGATTTGCAATTCACACTTTATGCTCGTTTATAAAACTGAATGGAGTTTAGCTTACTTTAAAAACCGTCAATTTTTAGCTGATTTGTGATGACAATTCCTGCTCACCGTGAGACCCGTGCTGTGAAGGGTATTCGAAGGGGCCAGTGGGTAGTTAGGTGGTCGTTTGGTCCGCGCAACATCGGAGGTTCCGAGCATCCAGCATCGCTTTAGTGTCCCTTCTCTTCAGCGTAAGAGCGCGGCGAGAGTAGAACTATTCTTCCTAAAGCTGCAGGCGATTTGTTTGAATGGATTTTCAAAGATTGTTCGACAAAGCCGACGAGTCAAGTCGACAAAGCCGACGAGTCGAGTTGCGCAACTATAGGCAGCCAGAAAAAAAATGTGATTATGAAAAATACAATGTTAAACTGAAAATTGGCAATGAAAATTTGGATAAGTAGCGGAATAATCTTAAATGTTGTAGAACTATAGATTCGTAGTTTGAAAATATAATGTTAAAGAAGTGAAACTTCTGCAAACTCGTTACGGTTTCGCATGTTTTTAATATCACGCCTGAATACGAATAGTTCGGCGAGAATGCAAATAGTTTAGCTTGTAGGAGGCTATATATAGTAAAACGCACACATTGCCAGCTTCTTCCATTAATTTTTCCCTTCAAAAAAAATTAAAAAGTCGCGTAGAATCTCAACTTGGCGTCGTAAGAGTGTGCTTCAAATCGCAATATAGACAATCACGGAACTTGCGCTCACACGACTGTACAATTAATTTCATGATAAAGATATAAGTCATCATCATAGACCATCGTCAGAAACTCTGAGCGCTCGATAATCCAAAGGATCAAACTAAAAGTCAATTACAGAGTCTTAGTTTGAGAATTTTTTTTATTCTATCCGAACTAAATCCTTTCTCCTGCCAAAAGTTGTGAAAATTTACCTACTTAACCCTGCAGTGTATGGTAACGCACAAAACTGACCATATCGGTCACCTTTTTATTGGTTTAGTTAGGGTCTATTTTCGTAGGCGTGGATTTCATATGTAATCCAACCGACGTCTGTAGGGTTAAACATTACAGTTTTTCAATGAAGAATGTTAAGTTCAACTTCCCAAAATGTCTCTACTTTTCTCTGCTTCCAACCGTAAAAAATTTCTGGTATTTTACAGGGTTTTTCAGAATTTCGACGGAACTGAAACCTAATTCTCAGAGCCAAGTCTTTTCAAATTCAGCCTTCAATTCTCTGAACGTGGATTATGACTCAAAAGGTAACGGTGGATATAGTGCATATGCTGTCTATCATCGAATTGAAAGAGCACAAATTTGACCCTAAATACCACAAAACTGACAGAAATACTTTTTCTAAACTGAATTATCAAGTGTGTTCTCATTATAACTCTCCAGAATATCTCATTCTAACTCTCTAAAAACAAATTTTACGATAATATAATTGTTTGCCAGAATCACTTCCGCCTGGAACCTTACATCAGAAAATCAGAATATTGTGCTTGGTCGTGTCGCACCCAGGCCAGCACACAACACAGGCGAAGGCTGTACACTTCACGTGGTCTCAGCGATGCACCCAAACTTTCTTCATCACAAACCTGGAGCCTCTCACCACCGATGACGATTACCTGAGCGCTGTGTGCGGCATCCTCGCGGTAGCCGGAAATATTGGAGATAAACTCCAGCAGTTCAAGGCAGAATATTGTGTACAAGACGACACCACGACACCATCGGCCGAGAGCACTTCATCCCTGTCACCCAGCGAGTCGCCCGTGCCAGATATGCGCGACTATCCAGAATGGGTGGAATGGTTCACGCCGTCTCTTCCTATGCTCTTCGTACCTCAGACGGATCCTGGCAGACTTGGGCTTTGGAATAAGACGAAAGTGTGTGCATATTCATAATATTTCGTCATTGATAAGACGTTTCGTATTATTAAGGAATATTAAGTCTAATTATAGAAGCTGTGTTGTATACTTTGAAAGACACGTATAAGCGTATTTTTTTATGCATTTCAATGGATCTTGAGTAATTTTCACGCGCAAGTTATTCAATTTAACTAATTTTTATGACATGTTAAATATTTGTCTTAGCATTGCCTTGTTAATGTTCTTCTTACGTTCATAGTTCGCTTACCTGCACGCCTACCAGCATTTCTTGACCGACTTCGACTGGTTCCTCAAGGCTGACGACGACACTTACTTCATCATGGAAAACCTCAGAAGTTTGCTGCAGCTCCACGAGCCTACCGAGCCTGTCTACTTCGGTTGCAATTTCAGAAAGACCGACAATTTGGTCAGTAATTCTGTAGTGTAATGAAGCTATCGAATAACACTAAGTAATAATAACAATGTATAAGCAGTAGTCGCAAAGACTTCAGAGCCAAATTCTGGCGAACCTCATCAAACGTTGACGAAAATTGAATAACCATTGATTGAAGGTGGCTGTAACATGTATTCGTCAACTCGTCTAAGCGCGTCATTTTTAATAAATTAATAATTTAATAATAAATTTAATAAAATTGATAAAATAATAAATTTTATTTTGTAAGGAATAAGTTATTACTTTACCAGGGCTATATGAGCGGCGGAGCGGGGTACGTTCTCAGCCGCGCAGCCCTTGAAGCCTTCGCTGCCGTGGTCCAGGCGAACGCATCTCTGCTGGACAACACTTGGCCCGAGGACCTCAACATGGGTGATTTTATTAAGCTATTCATTCATAACTCCATATATTGTAAATTTTGGCTACACACCAATCAGACTTGCTCTATTGTAATGTGCATTATTGCACACTGAAAAATATGAGTGAGCTAGACATCGTCTAACTGGCGATGTCAGTAATTTTGCCCTTGGGTAGACCATCCTCACCTAGTTTGGCTGGCCAAAAAAGAGGTCTCTGTGTGACGTCCGTCCTCGGCTCGTATTGTGTTAAAGAGGAGTCACTATTTGCGCAATGTTACCTATTAATTTTTTTAGTTCGGCTAACGCGGCTCATCGTATTACGTAATCTTGATGAAAAATAAGGATGAATCCATCCTATACACTCGAGCAGGCCTAACGCTGGAAGAGGCAGGCGTCACGCCAGGCGAGTCCCGCGACGTAGAAGGGCGGCCGCGGTTCTTCCCTCTGTCTGCTCGTTCCCTCGCCCACCCTCAGGACGGCAGCGTGCCTGACTGGTACTGGCAGCTCACGGCGTATGCTCACCACACGGTCAGTAATGCAACTTACGTCTATGCTTCGTAACAATATTTAGTATAATTCTTTCTTCTTGTGAAGATCGCGGCAGAAAATAACTTAATCGCAATTTAATAATTGAAATTCAGGTAAAGAATATGCAGGAAATGTTTATCAGTACAATGCGATGGCTCGATTTGATGTCACAATCTGAAGTGAATTATCTTGACTGTTATATTGTACCCCTGATGAGTGCGCGGCAGTGTTAAGACAAGCATTCATCACACGACTCAATTTTAATTGAAAATTTACAAATATTTTATAGTTATTTACATCATCGTACCCCGCTCCATTACAAAATATTTTTGCTTCTGATTGTTCCGTGGGTCGTTAGGTGGCCCGGAATCATCTCAACATTAGTAATTATTTGATGTACTGTTCATTGTATTTAGGCTGAATGCCTCCCTTTGCCGTTAAATATAATTTCCCTTGGAGATAGTGTGAGTTGAATTGTGTTGAATTTTGCACGAGTGTGTTGAAGTTGAAGTCGTGCGCAGGGCCCGCAGTGCTGCAGTCCCTCGGCCATATCCTTCCACTACATGACGGACGCTGACATGTACTTCACTGAGCTGCTGCTGTACAATGTACGTCTCAGTCGTGTGTGAGGTGCGACATATCATCCTGCAGATGATGGTGGATGATTCGGTACTTTGCTATCATCAGGCAGATGGTGAATGATTCAGATCTTTGCTATCATCACACAGGTCATGGTGGATGATTCAGATCTTTGCTATCATCACAGAGTTCATGGTGTATCATTTATTTTTTTTCTATCATCACTCCTCAAATGATGGAATGCCACCAGCTCCGGATTGCCCTTACGCGCGAAAGTTTACTACATGACACGAATTCCGTGAAAGTTCTAAAGCGGTTCAGAAAATAAAGTTCTAACGTCAGATAGTTCCTGTCGTTGGCAGTGATTTTTTTTCGACGGCTTTATTGGAACAAAATGAACGAATAAATACACGATGCGTTAATGGTACAAAGGACCAATAATGCTTCCGAAATTAATAAGTGTGAGATTCCATGAAAAATGTGAAGAACCTCACATTTGAAAACGCTTACCCTTTCTGATCTTATTCGTCCGAAAATAACTATGGATTCCAGTATCTAGGTTTTGAAAAATAATCACATAATCATTTACGAAGCGTTATTGTTGATGCGTGAATACTAAGCTTAAGTACCTGATAAGGTGCCATTTATTAGTCATATAATTAATAAAGATATATATTCTTTAACGATTCTTCAATAAGTCCCATTGTCAACCGAAATTGCCGCACTTCACTAGTTTTCCTACACAAATAAAAATTTCACAGTGCCATGAACAACGCGCCCGTCACCTCCAATGCATCGCAACTTTGTACGCAAGACGAAAAAAAAGAACGTCTTACTTCAATTCATTTTTACTGATAATAAAAAGTATACATGTATTTTTAACAATAGATGAACCCAATTGGAACTGCGATGCCGTAAGAAATAAGTGCCATATTTTTTTCCATATTGCAGTATCTAGTATTAAATAAGCTTGCTGCCACCATGAAGCGCATATAATGACTAGTATATCGGCCTAAATTGTTAGCGTAATGTATTGTTTTAAAAATAAGCACAGAAGTAACTAACAGATCTTAGGGAAAAAAAACTACCCTGACACCCTTCCAGAAATTCACAATTAACGACATCCCTTGAACGTAAGACTAGACATCCATGATGGACAGCGTACAATCATGGTTGAACTAGTATATAGTTCAACCATTGCGTATAATAGCCCGTACTATCTTCGGATGCTCGTCGACCAAGGCTGTATTTCGAATATGGCGTCAACTTTTTACACCTTCAGTAATTAACAATTATGAGAATTCACTCATGATATAAACGCTCTAAAAAATAGTAACAAGTTTGTAATGTTATCCTCTTCTACTAAAAGAAGCAGAGAAAACCAGACCAATGTATTGATAGTTTCTAAGATTTCATTCAAGTCCTGAGAACTGTCACGTCATATCTTCAACAGAATATCTGCAAGACAGTTTACAGTTTACAAATATTAACAAGTGCCAATGCGCAGAAAATACACCCAAACCAAAAGTTCGAATTTTTCTATTAATTGAAAACACTGCATGAGATCCACTCTTTTGAACATCCAAGTACTTACCAGCGTTGGTTTTTACATCCACGATCTCAGTAACATAGTTTGAATATCCAGGTTCTTAGTAACATATTTTTTATATCCAGGTTCTTAGTAACGTAGTTTCGATATCCAAGTTCTTAGCAACGTTCTGGATATCCAGGTTCTTAGTAACGTTGTTTTGAACATGCAATTTCTTAGTAACGTTAGTTCAGACGTTAACGTTCATAGAATCGTTTGTTTGTTGGACAGCGTAGGTCATCGATGGTCACATGAAAATAACGGCTTAAGCGCTTCAATGGCCCTACACAGCAGAGAATGAGTCGTTTACTTCGAAGGTAAGGCGTTATCTATCCAATATTCAGTAACAGGCCTTTGGAAGCAAGTACGGGATGTGACCTAAAGCAATGTAACAAAATTTATAAGAAAATCAAGAAATTACGGAACCTGGAACGGTGTAATAGAGCTAATGAATAAAAATCCATTACATTGAGGTAGCAAATGATGGCTAAGATGGTTTATACTTTATATAAACGTAAAATGGCAGAGCCTAAAACCTATTTGTATTATGCGCAAACTAGCCTTCGTCCAACAGTTGTGGACGCTTGTCGGTGTCAAATCTAGCATCGATCTATGTTACCAGCTTCATAAATGACAAAAATTTGGCACCAATAAGAAGCAATCCAACAAATACGAAATACATCAAATTAACCACGATTCCGAAGAACGTAAGAGAGCAACTCACGACTCAAGGGCAGTTCTGCCTGATTTACGTGCCTTGTTGTCCCTTCCATGTCGTCAACGTAAGTTGAAATTATCACATTAAATACTTTCATTAATTTCTAAATCCCTATTACCCAGAAAAAAGTTGAAAATTACACTCAGAGGTAAATAACATCCACTTTGGTGACGCCGGCACTAGAGCGAAAATAAAAAAAATTGTTTGGGATCGTATCCTTCATGCCAGGTAGCACATTAAATAACATAGCCGTCACATACTACGACATGAGTCAAGCTTATGCATCCCCTCCTCATACGAAGCTAATTAACAACGCTGACATGAGACGCTACACTGTAGACCAGACTAGATTTTCTATGGATATATCATCTTAGCAGTAAGATAATACACTCAACACAGCACGGACCAAACAACACACTGGATATACAATATAATCAAGACACGCTAATTCCTCTTAATTAAAATTGATGGCAATGGAATGTGTTTTACGTGACCTAAGTAACAACTCTGATAACAAAAAAGATTAGGTAAAAATTTTCAATTTCGTCTTAGACAAAAAATATAATTATTTGCACATGTCCTTTGAAGAAACCCAATTTAACCTCATACCAAGACTACTCGCAGCGACGGTGCAAGAGCAGAAGTAAGTGTAATGTGATGGTATGAAGACAGTGTTCTATAGTGACTATATTAACCGTTCAAGATTCTCGGCTATGGACTTGACGAGCGGCTGAAACGAGTGCATAAATTCAGCGAGCCTGCTCGCCACTTCCACCTGAAAATTCATTACCTCAAAAATAGGAAATTCAGCGGTTGCAATCAAGATGTTGTCTCGCATATGTCAATAGGACGCACATGAAAATAAACTAGCGCAGATAAATACTGACGATCGTTACCTGGAACATGTGATGATAACTAGTGCGTAAAGACTTCGTTTCATATAAGAAATCAAGAAATGAAATTAAGATATTAATTTTTCCATACCTACCATAATAATTGTAATATAATAAGAAGTAGCTTCGTCGCCTGACGCATCAATTGATTAATTTTAAATTAATTTCAAGACGAAACGCTTATCGGACAAGCGTTTTGTTCGCGAGAAAAAAAGCAGACCTAAACGCCCGGCAACATGCCAACACGTCATGCATTGGTCGCAAGGAAAAATATCAAAGTTTTCATAGCTTAAGGAACGAAACAATTAATAACAAGACCTGCTCAAATTACACGCTAACCTCGTAGATTACAAATTACTATAATACTTTCATGATAGTTGCCCTAGTTGAACATATAGTTAGCACGTGGATCGAAGCTTTTATTCAATGAACTAACTCTTGCTGCAAGGCTTGCAAATTAGGAGCTTCAATTTTCTATAACGTTTCTTGTTTCTTTGACCACTTTCGTACATAAATTTTAATCAGCTAAGTGCACATTAAATTTGGCAACTATCAGAATACCTACGAGATAAATTTCACAGAAATATTACCAAAATGACTAGGGAAAAATGACACACAACTGCAAGTGCCACTAAGGGGAGCTGTGCATTCTAGTCAGCCGCCTGGCTGGCTAAGTTCCTGGGAGGTGGAGGGGGCGGGTAGCTGGGGGGCGGCTGGGAGAAGGGGGACTCGACGGCATCTTGGAGGGGAGCATAGCCGGGAGTGGAGAGCTCCGGGGACCACGTCCCAGCCGAGTCTTTGGAGGCGCTCCGGCTGAGCCCGGCCTCCTGACGAGGGTCTCGTCTGCTCGAGTTCTCGCTGGAGCCGCTGCCCTCGCAGGAGTTACTGTTGCTGCTCCCCTCGCTGGATCCGTCCTCGGCAGGCGGGAGGATAACGGTCTCTGCTCTACCGCGGGCCTCAGCGCGGGACTTGACAGGTACGAAGCAAGCGGCGGCACTGCGGCCCGCAGGATGGTTACGAGTGGCTAAAGGGAGACTTGAGGGCCTCGTAGGGGACTTGGAGGGACTTCGGGAGTGCATGCCTGAGGAGCTGCTCGGAGAAGTGCCACAAGATGTTGGGTTTAACCTGCAGCCCAGCGACATTGCGTCTTTCGCTGTGCAGTTTCTGTCATGCTTTGAATCCTGGGAGACAATGGTTACTGCTGATTCCATTACTTTAGTTTCACTAGAAACGTTGCTTCTTTCTGGCCTGATTTGCAAATTCTCAGCGGCTGTGATCATCGTATCAATCTTTGAAAGCAAAGCCTCGGAAGAATATGGCGCTGACTCCTTCAGATCATGGCTAGTGCACGACGGCCGCGAAGACACAACTACTGCTGCTACATGTTCGCCCTCAGTACAACGAGAAGTGTTCGCACTAGGATCTGGTGCAGACATAGGAGCGGCACCAGCGACAGTCGATGATGTGACGGCAGGCGATGCGTCAGGTTTGTCAGCAGCAGCTGCTGAGCTGTCGGGATCAGCTGCGGAGCTGTCAGCAGCATCTGCAGTCTCGCAGCTCTCGCCCCCAATATTTGCTTCTTGCAGGGGCGTCAGGAAAGGCGTGGACGAGGACACAGCCAAGTTGCTGGCGTCAGGAAGGTCCTCCTCCAACATCAAGCCGGCGATGGCGTCGTCACTCAACATCTCAATGCTGCAAGCCGTAATAATATTACATTAAATGTTCTTGAAAAGATTTTAACGTCGGATAAAATACAAGAGGTTACAGTAGTTCATAAGTAGAGGGTACTATGACCTAATTTTTATTTGATTGGTTTACTGTTCGAAACACCAGGCAGAAATTCAACTATTAGAAACACCTGACGGGACACAAGGGAGGTAATATAAAGGAGATTAGAACTCACCTGGCGAGGCTCTCCGAGTCTGAGATCACGGCGTCGTCGACGAGGGAGAGCGCCACGCCTGACGCGTCCAGGGGCGGCGCCCCCACGAGCTGCCAGCCTGACAACTCCCCGCCCAGGCTGCTGCAGACGTGTGTGCACAGCTGCTGTGCCTGCTGCTGTGGTTGCGCAGGCTGTGACTGCTCAGGCTGCGGTAGCTGTTGCTCTGGTTGGTGTTGTGGATGGTTTTGTAGCTGTTGCTGGTTCCTTAACTCCGATAACGATGCTAGAGCCTGAACAGATGTACGAATAAATGAATTAAATAACACCATGTCGAATGTGATACACACGGCCCAGATTTCGATTCAATCAGAACTTTATGCAAAATGATTTAAGCAATGCTAAAAAAAATTGGAATAACAGTTCCAGGCATTATCTGAATAAATTTCTAACAGCACCACTAGCAATATATCAACGAAAATTCCATAAAAAGGATTTAATCTAACAAAAATCTCATCACAACTAAAAATCTCTGCAATAAGGCTCACCACTTGGGGTTCGACAGTCTGGTCACAACGTTCCTCTTCGCCGAATCTGAGGTCAGAAGATGTCTCGGTCGAACCAAGCTCATCAGCTGGGAAACTTTTCCCAACCGCTTCAAGTCCACAAACTGTTTTTTCTTGGCAGATATTTTTCTGAAAAGCCATTGAAGATGTAGAAACTGAGCCACCATCCTCAGTGGTTGCGGCAGTCAGGTTGATAGCCGAAGAGGAAGACGTAGATGTCTCTCTAGTATCGTGGGCATCAGTTGAGGTAACCGGCGCGTGGAGGGCGGCAGCGTCGTGCTTGTTGGTGACGCCCCTGGAGAGCAGTAAACTGCGCTCCCTGGAACAAGGGGAGGGAGACTCGGCGCCAACACCCACACCTCGTACGCCCAACACCTGCGCGCTCGCACGTCTCTGTAACACGTCAGTAATGATAAGGTCCCTAGCATGTGAAGCTACTGTACCTAACCTCCCATCTTCATTCGAAAGGAAGTTTATGTGTTACATAGCAAGCAGATCATGCATGATCTCGCTCTAATTACTGTTCTCTTCAACTTCGTACCTGCTCCGCCTTGTGTATCTGCTGCGAGATATCCACTCTTGATAAAGCCTGTCTCGCCCCACCTTGTGTATTTGTTCCGAGATATCCACTCTTAATAAAGCCTGTCTCGCCCCACCTGGTGTATTTGTTCCGAGATATCCACTCTTAATAAAGCCTGTCTCGCCCCACCTTGTGTATTTGTTCCGAGATGTTCACTCTTAATAAAGCCTGTCTCGCCCCACCTTGTGAATTTGTTCCGAGATATTCACTCTTAATAATTCACTCTCAATAAAGCCTGTCTCGCCCCACCTTGTGTATTTGTTCCGAGATGTTCTCGAGCATGGCCAGGGCGGAGGCGTACGTATCTTTGGCGTCGCTAACTTCTCGCTCGAGCTGCCGCACGCGCTGCTTCTGCCACTCCAGCTGCTGGTTCACTTGAGATTTGGCCTCAAAATATGGTCTGAAAAACAAGTGCATATGCTGGTAAAAATATTATCAACGCAGAGCAAATGATTAAATACCGCAGAGCAAATAAATAAATATAAGGCCGGGCAAATGTTTATAATTAATGTGTTTGTTGGGCTGGTTTTAAAAATGAAATGAGAAGATTCATAATGATTTCTATTGTACGAAGAATGTAAATATTCATTACTGGAGCCAAATTAAATATCAAATGTCACTAGCAATTTATACTGAAGCAAGCAAATGCGCAAAATATCAGTACATGAAAATGCAAAAAAAAACGTATCATCAGGAAGCACAAATATAAATTGCAGAAAATTTGGAACATAGAACGTATCTATAAATTCAATAAATAATACGTACAATAGGATGCACATGAATTAAAACACACTTCAAACGTCAATCCAAACAAAACCATTGGACTGTGCAAATCATTAATAAAAATTCATGCAAATGCACAAGTGTAGATACAGTCAACTTCTCACTGCGTGTAAAAAATTAATTTCTTCGGAAATAGCAAAGATGCACTCTGGCTCAGTCCAGCCACAATTGAATTAACATCGTCATTAATTTTATAACACATTTCGTGAAATTACGAGGCAAATCCACTGGATTACTTCGAGACTCCACAACAAAGAAGGCCTTGGAGCACTCGTCACGAGACTGACGAAGCAAGCAACCAAAATGTGATGCGCCAGTCAAGACGAGCGCACCATCGGTATGCTAACCGAACACGTTTTAATTTCATTGATGTTTTGTATTTTTATTGATAATGTGATTTTGATCATTTGGGTACGTTTCGTTCCCACGTAGGTACGCGAGTTACGTGTTAAGTACTTTGATGTTCATGAAAGGAACAGCATGACCGCAGGGAAATTTACTCACAAAAGGTGCAGTTGTTGCAGACGCACCAGACTACTGATTTGCAAGAGGCTGCGACGGGTGTTCAAACTAGGACAGGGGAAAGAAAAACGAAACACGTAATAAGAAGCAGCAACTCAACGTGAAAAACGGTGATTTGTCAGCGTCACATTTATGAGAAGAACTGGAGGCAGGCACAGAGTCATGTTTACTGGGAATCACTGAGAGGTTAAAACGACGAATGATAGAACTACTTTTTGACATGTAGGTCAATCCTGACACCTCTAAATAGCAAGACACTAAAACTAACAGAAAATTGGAACATATAGGCAACTGGAAGCTTGGTCTTAGACGTCTCCTTTTCAATTAATATAGGTACGATACTGAACATTGCTACGAGGTTGACCATACTGATATATCAGCCTGACACAGCACTGATAAAACAGGAACTGGTTAAGGGCATGCAGAACATTGAGTGTGTAAATTCGGGAACTCAAGTCATACGTACTTGCATTCAAAAATAGAACTCTTTCCAAATAATATGATCTAATATGAAGAATGTTTCCATGCGCTAGGAAAAATTACAATAAAAGAAAATAAGCTAATAAAAATAAGATTAAGATAATTATATGTAGACAAAGCAATTTTTTAATGGGGGCAAAAAAGCAATTTTTTTATTCGAAGCAATGTTTTTAATGAGACTTGCAAAGTAAAGCAAACAGGCGATAGCGTCGCATCAATTTCCTCAACTTCCCACGTAGTTTATTATGAACAAAAATTTCTTACTTATCTCCTATTCTGTCAGATTGTTATAGCCAATCGTGTACTCACCAGTTATCTGAAATTTTATAATAGCATGGGTAATAGCCTAAAACACAAACACACGCTGAAATTTATCAATACAGATTATTTAAACAAAATTTGTAGTGAAAGCGATATTCTCACTACCGCATGTCCACGATAGATAAACGATCATTGGACAGATTCAAACGATATTCAGTGAAGGTGCATCACAAAAAAATAAATAAGTAAACAAAATAAACAAAATATATGAAGGAAAATTTTTTTCTAAATTACGGTATAGGCTGAAATTCGATCATTATAAACGTGATTAAACTAAACAACACATTTCCATGAAGAAATATGAAATTTTCACTGCACACGTGACAAACAATGACAATAGCAAGCATGTTTACTTTAAAAACACTAACATACATAAAACTAAATGGAACATTAACTGGCCACCTCATTCACTAACCCAGAATCTCAAACGTGGCCATGTTCCTGAAGAGAAACATGCCCATTTTCAAGAAATAAAAAAAACATACAAATAAAGCTAAGGGAAAAAACTTCAACAAAGGAATAAATCTGATTTGCGCTTTAGGATGAGCTTGGACATAGTAAAAAAATATAACTCAGTACTCACTGCAGTGAGTGACAGAGAGCGCATTTTCTCGTCGACAAAAACGTGAAGTCACGGACGGACAGACGGACGGACGGACATGGCGAGCACAATAGCGCATTTTGTCCATAAATGAGAAAATGCGCTAAAAATTGATGATCAACAGATTTGTATTATAAAACTCATTGTAATCGTGAAGTGCAACAAAATCATGAAGTGCAACAAAAAATCAATTCAGAAAGAAGAGTTAGAATTCAGAAAGAAGAGTTAGTTTCATACCTCGAGCGAGCGATGGCACGCTTGAGCTGCACCTGGAGCTGCTGTACACGCGCCTCGGTTTCCTCATAGCGCAGCAGCGACTGTTGGTGCGCCAGCCCGCACTCGTGCTTAGACTTCTCAGCAGCATTCACCTGCAAACAAACACACATTAAACTTTGAAAGTCAATGGAAAATTGCTAAACCATATAACACAGGCTTGGACTTACTTGCAAAACTACAACATACATGACCCTTAGAAGTTAATACGCATTAGTTCATTTGATGCTTTGAATTAGTACGGTACACACATAAACAAACTAAAAAGATGTAATTTACCGTCAATGCCGATTAGGTAATGTTGCATAAGCACTCAATTCGCCGGCCTCCAATAGAAATGACTTTTTTTCATGAACAGAACTGAAATCTTCCTAGCATGATCAAAACAGCTTTGTAGGCTACATACATATGGTAATCGAACCTACAAATCCTAGTTCGGACCAGTATTATAAAGTAGTTTTTTAGAGATGAGTGGCGAGATAAGTGCAGTACCAGCTGAGAGGTGACTTTTGCGTCATTGAAGGTAGGTTAATGCGAGTGCTTGCTTGCATTTTAACAAAAAGTTCGTAACAACAACAAAATAGGAACAGAAGATGAGGAACAAAAAACAGAAGACGAGATCAGCGATTGGCATCGCATCTCTTTGTTAGCAATAAAACAAATAATCTATTAGCCATATATGTTCCCAGATATTTATGTAAATAGAATAGCATATGAAAAGCTGAACTTCAGTTAAATCGAATAAACTATTACTATTAGCTAATGATAATTTTGAAAGTGTTGAAAAGTAAGGCTAGGGTTATTCACTGAAAACTATGCATGAATGTACTTTAGCCGAGGCATGATTGAGCATCTCTTGCCAAGTGTGGTCGAAGGCAGCACCAGACTGCATGAGTCCTTCTTCTGCCAAGAAGACCATCTCACGGGCAGCATTGTGTTCACTAACAGACCTCTCATACTGCACGCAGGCACACTGCATCTCTTGCATTGCCTGCAAACATTCAACTTTGAACAAAATTACTATCAAAGCCCTATTTAAAATTTCACATATGAAAAGATTAGGTAGCATAAAAGCCACAAAACAAGACAAAATAGATTGCTAACATATAAATTCATCTTGTTAATTTAGGACTGACCATTACCATTATACTGTGCAGTTCGTAAAAAAATGTAAGATGAAATCTGGTATTTTATTTTCCTAATTATCATCCCTCATCTCAAACTGAACCTATAGCTAGCAGCTTAATGGTGAACATATTGGAAGTCTATTCTGCAAACTACAACCATCTCATACTGGTACCCTATCACAAAAATTAATCAAATCATGGCCAATAAAAACAGTAAAAATGGAAAAAAAATCAATATTCAATGAGTTTTAGTCTTTTCTCACCTGCTTAGCTTTTATTCTGGCATCATAATAAGGGCGAGCTTGCTGCACACACTTGCCTAACTTCTTGCTTAGCAGGTCTATTCGCTGAGTGGAATCGGCCAGCAGCTGACGAAAGACCATCCGAGCTTCCTGTCAACATTAACAACAAGTTAGAGCATAAGTACAAGCAAAATCAGTAACAAATTTATTAAAGTAATGGATGGAGAGTATACATAAATGTTACAGCAAGTTATAGTTAGAGCACAGCAGAATGGATGTTGCAATTCATCAGTAAAAACAAACTGAACCACATCAATAAAATAAAACAGAAGATGATTTTTTTCAACTCACATCCAGCTCCACTTCCAATTTATTGATTGTGTCAGTTGAGCTATTGAGACGTTCCAACTCAACCTGAAAAAAATACAGTTTTAACTGTAACAAGATTCAATATAAGTGGTTTTATAACTTGAAGGAGACTGCATGAGTCCAGCAAATTATCAAAAACATTCAAGTTTACTCAAGATATTCATATATTCAGCATCATTAAATATTCAAAAATATTAGATTTGGAAATAACAGAAGACATAACTCGTACAAATGATAATATAATATTAAATACCGTACATATTGAATGCCAAAATTTATCTGATGCTTCAGTGATAATATAACAGATTTCTTTCCTAAGGACTCTAATTCAAAGTAAAACATACATGCCTGATATTATTCACAGAAATACTGAACAATTACTTTTCAAATCTCTTCAGAGTATGAAACAAATCACATACCTGGATGCGAGGATCAGGAGAGTCTTCGCTGATGGTGCGAGCAAGAGCTGCAGCATACGGTATAGCAGTGGGAGGACTGGTGTCTAAATTTACTGTAACAAGTCTGCTGCTCTCACATAAACTTTCTGCACTTGGTGGTGTTGCCAAAGACATTGTCCTAAAATTAAAGAAGACTTAGTCTAAAATATAATACAGAACTTTCAATCATGCATTTCTCCAAAAGGTGAAAAGATTCAAGTTAAATGATGGTCAAATGAAACTTAATTTGAATCAAATCAAATTAATTCCTTCAGAAAAACAAAAAAATTATGGACATAAATTCATGATAAAGGTATGCACAGTCAGGATTTTGCATAAGTTTCCAGATAGAGCATGTAAGGAAAACTTATAATGAATTGGCTATTGCTGCAAACTTCAAAAGCTAGCTCCATCCAAAAGGTCATACTTCTAAGTCTAGTCTACTGCACACAAGGTGTTGGTGTTCAATAGAAACGATTCATGCTATGAAGAAAACTGAACCATAATTTTCTAACAAGGATGAAATGGCTTCAAAGTTATTTTGAGATAACCATACTTTACAAATTGCAATTTAGACCCCCACATTCAAATAATTTTTGACAAGCAGCAAGGAAAGAACAGTATATATCTGATGTGTTGAGAAAAGTGGAGTTTGTGATGGAAATGTTGTGAGGCTCTGTCCCCATGTTGTGGTGGTTTCTTGATTAATGCACTGTGACTTGTATACCAAGTATATTCGACATCTACACATCATAAACTCTGCAAGTTAACCTGTTGTTCAAGTAAAAACTTTTAAGCTGAGCCAAAACACGGGTTCAAATTAACAACAATAATAGGTACATCTTCTGGTATCAAGATCATGAAGTAACATTCACTTTGTCCCACTGCTTTCATCTGACTTTGAGCTTATGATAGAAGTAGGAAAGCAGTAGGAAAATAGAATAGGAAGAAGTAGGAAAGTTTGAATAAAGTTCCTTCAAGCCTCTTCTGAAACAGTCACAAAAGCATTGCTTTTGTATCAGAAAGTCTGACTTTATATCTATTTCAACTTTTGTGCACTTCCATTGAAGAGTGCTATTTTGACATTGGTCTTGTTATGGGTAAAATGAAACAAAAAACGTTTAAAAACCACGTTTTCTTAACAGACGAAAAAGAAAAACATTTACTCTTACATAACATTTAAGTTATGTAAAATGTTACGTATGTAATGTTATGTAAGAGTAAATGTTTTTCTTTTTTGTCTGTTAAGAAAACGTGGTTTTTAAGTTTTTTTATTTGTTTTATTTCATTATTTTTATTTTTGTAAAAACCAGAAAAACGTGGTTTATAAAAATGATTTTTTATATGTATTTATTTATTTTCTACTTTTTAGTTTAGCAATTTTAGCAATTCAAATCAATTTCCAGGGTTGGCAAGTCTGGATGTTTGAGAAAAAAACTCGATTCCAAACCACGAATTTTTTTTTATTTTTTCTAAATTTTTTTTATTTATTATTTCTGATCATCAAATCTTGAATTGTTAGACAGCATAAGCATGCATGCCAAATTTCTAGTTTTTGGGATCTTCAGAAGTGCTCTAAATTAAGGTTTGAATTTTTGATGACAGACAGACAGACACGAAACAAAGCTAAGAATAACGTGGTAATAAGCATCAATTTTTGTCATCATTTTCGTCAGGATTTTTTAGAAAGTGTTGTGTGGATTTGTGAATGCAAGCATCTGGTCTTGTGTGCTGCCACAGCACAATTAAATTGTCTTCATCACTATTCCAATTCACTGTTGGAGTTGTAAGGTTGATAACATTCTTGCCTGAAAGCAGTGTCTTAAGTCTGGCAAAAATTCTCTCTTATTGCTATTTCTTTAATTGTCGAGTCCCTTTCCCTGTACTTGTTAAATTGATAGGATCAGTTGGTGAGGGGACCAGCTGGCAAGTTGTGGAGGTAATCTGAAGAATCATGGACCCTTGGACCCTGCAGGCTGCAGCTATGGGCTTGAGGCTGCAGTTGTTTATTTAAATAAATTAGGGTGGCATTCTAAATGCCTACCAAATGACCATGTGTCTATGTGATTGAGAAGCGTTGGGTTCAACAAAAATAGGAGCTTGTGCGGCGTGCGCTCCAATACAAGCAGGCTGGCAGCAGCAGCATCATGCTGGTTCAACCAGCAGCCTCAGGAGTGCAACCAGCCTGGTTGCACTCCTATTGTAGCAGCCAGTGGCATAGTGGCAAAGCAGAGAGTTTTTAGACTCTCCCTCAAGTTCATTTTTGAGTCCTATAAGTAGACCAGTAAAGTATCCTGGATACCTGCCTTATCATACATAAGAAATTGGTTTAAATCTTAAGTAAATGGGGAAATTAAAAAAACGGATTCTAAAAAATCTCTGGTTTGTCACTATGGCCCAGCGGGACAGGCACGGCCACGTTGTATCTGCTGCTGCTGACCTGCTTGTATTGGAGCACATGACCATCATGCTCCCCTGAGTCCCCCCCAGCTCCTGGAGTGAGTAGTGCTGAGCGCTCCGGGCCCGGCCATCCTGGTGGATCTAAATGACCAACCGTTTTCTAGAATTTGCCAACGTTTCCTAGATAAGCATATCCTTCACTGCAGAAATTGCTACATTGTCTGCATTTGAGCAGTTACTATGCAGGATATTCCCTGATTTCTCTCCACATATCAGCAGGGTTGATCATAACTATTTTTTTGGTAAATAATATCTACCACAAGGAGGCTGATCAAGGAATGTCAAGTTACTCAAGTATACCATTCAACTGATTCAAGGGAGAATAAAAATTAGGCTACAACCCGTTTATATCTCAAAGAAAGTGTAAAAGTTGCAGACTTGATGAACAATAATATTCAAAGTTTCTTAAAATTTCCTTTCATTATAACTAACTCTATTAATACAAATTTACATATTTCTTTGTTTCTGGTTGCCATTTATAAATAAATAGCTGGGTAAACATGGAAAAATCCATATTGCCATCTCATTTTCGAGTGGACTAAAGTCTATGCTAATTTGTGAAGAAACTCACAGTCATAAGGAAGAGCTAAGCCTGTTCAAAGCCTCGCGGTTCTCTATCTGATCCTTAAGCAGAGCAAAATTGAAGCAGTGAGTTGCTCGTTCGGGACCGCAAGGAGCTGTGAATATTCTGCGATATTAAGAATCGGCGACAGGCCTACGGCCTTAAAAACGCTGAAACCGCTATGTAATGTTATGTATTCACTTAGGGTCAGCCTGTCAGGTCGTCAGGGCCGTCAGGTCAGGCGACTCAACGCCCACGACTCACGCAACTGATGCTGTCGCTGTGAAGTTGTGAACTGCGAAGAATGTAAGAGAAAATAAATTGATGATAGATAAGTAATTTATCTATCAAAACTCAATCTTCAAATCATTCATGTTGTTGTTTATTTGTTTATTGAGGATGTGGGGTTGTCCCCCATGTCCCTCACGGCTCAAATTTTCACTAAGTCTTTACTTTTTATTTAATTTTATGGGAGTACTAGAGAGTAGAGACTGCACCATGAGGTAAGTACTAAATAAGGTTTAATTTGTGCTAACCACTCTGAAAATCTCTGGAAAGAAAAGAAACACACATGAGACAGGAGTCAGTGGTGGGAATTCTCCTACAGACATTTCCTCCACTGATGGTCCATCAGAGAATGACAAGTCCGGCAATGGCAACTCATCATCAAGAGCATCATCAAAAATTTCAGCTACAACACCAGCACCATTTTGATTCCACCCTTCAGAATTGCATAGGCCTGCTCTATTTCCAGAGGAGACACCCTCCATTGTTATTATGTTTGTTTATTGTGGCCCTATGGGCCACCATAGTGACAAAGCACAGATTTTTTAGAATCAGTTCATTTTTAATTTCCTCATTTACTTCAGATTTATACCAATTTCTTATGTATAATAATGCTCGTATCCAGGATACTTTACTGGTCTACTTATAGGACTCAAAAATGAACTTGAGGGAGAGTCTAAAAAACTCTCATTTAAACCAATTTCTTAAGTATGATAATGCTGGTATCCAGGATACTTTACTGGTCTACTTATAGGACTCAAAAATGAACTTGAGGGAGAGTCTAAAAAACTCTCTGCTTTGCCACTATGCATGATACTTTACTGGTCTACTTATAGGACTCAAAAATGAACTTGAGGGAGAGTCTAAAAAACTCTCTGCTTTGCCACTATGTGGGCCACAAAAAAAAAAAACACAATAAAATAAAAATATATTTGAGAAAATGATGCTATACCAGATGGAATCCTAATGACCGTAATTTTTATCAAAATACTTACTATTTGCTTCTAGCAAAAACGAAAAGATAGTCGATTGTTCAATGCTCATACACACGTCCGTAGTCGACCGCAGCTCGAACCGGAATCCAAATCATTCATCTTACTGGTCCTCGGAATCGGATGACGAGTGCGTGCTGGTGGTATTACACTATTACAGACATAACATCATAAACGTGCGTTTGTTGTCGTTCTATAGAGTGCAGTCAGTAAGGTGTCAAATCCGAGCATAATAAAAATGGTCAGTGATCTCCACTACCCCGCAATTGATGAAATATGTTGACGTTTTCCGTAAAAAGAAATTAACAGCATGAATCATTTTCTCATTGAATAACTTGGTGTTTATGAATTTTTTTCTCATTTATACACATATTAAAACGCATATGAATAAAACGTCTGGCTAACAAAATAATAAAACATGCAGCCTTTTTTGAGCTTTTCAATAACCAAATAAAGCTAAAGTTACGTCGTATTTTTCAACGTCTCGGACAAAAACGCGGCCTTTCACCTACGCTCTTAACCATTACCAAATTTATAGAAACTAATCAAACCATGATAAATAATTATGACAAAACTGTCAATATATGGGTTTTGAGGGATTTTAAAACCTATTGCGATAAATAAATGACATTAGTATTGACATTGCGTACATTTTAATACAAAAAAAAACTTGAAGACGTGACAGTGTAGGTCATCCTGCGCATGGTACGTACCATGATCCTGCGATCATTTTTTATGTAAAAAATTGTGAAAATTTGATTTCCATTATTAGACAAGTTTCCTTCATTTCCATAAAGGAATTATCTTCAAATGTAGCATTTTTTATAGTATAACGAGCGATCTATGCAACAAACGCCTACAGTCCCTCACTGGGACTTAACTCCCTTGCTCTGGCACGAGTTGCCATTACATACAAGGCGGAGGCTTCTGCGAGAAAATGTTTGAAACTGCCAGCTGACTTTCAGGCAAATTCTTAACCAATCTAAGGCGTAACAAAAATTTAGCTTCGTCATTTTGCGCTGCGTAGGGTAATCAGAGTCAAAAGAGGGAGGCTCTGGTTTATCATTACTGTTCCACTGCAGAGTTCAACAGCGAACTGCAACATATTTCACTTAATAAATAATATAATAGAGTATGTACATTTCCCCAACACTGCCAAGCCTGCATTGGAATGGCATCGATTAAAAAAACAATCGTGTATGGCAGTGTCCTGATGCAATCACCACATTAGAGAGGCCGGACAAACAACCACTGCAGGACGTAGCTATCCCTCTAATACCAAGCTAGAAGTCAGCTCGAAGAAAAATGTGAACAAATTATATTCATTGATGTTAAAGGATTAACCAATTAGTGATGCATTTACACAATGGTTCATTTACTGAATCAGATGGCAATACGTACTTACAGAATGGGTCTCTTGTTATGAAATTTTAGCGCTCAGTTAACAAAATTTACAATAGTTAGCATATCCTTCTAACATACAAATTGCCACCGAAAAATTCAAGTGTAAATTACCCTCGCACAATAATTGAAATTTCAATCTTAGCTTCCTGGTAGGCCAAAAATTGCAACTATAATCAACACGCATCCCGGGTTTACATAATCTTTGCGCCATGCAAGACCATTAATATCCACTTAGTGCAGAGTTTCCTAAGAAGATTTTTTCTTGGGCACGTACATGACTTTCCTATTGATAAGAACAGTCCAAACGTGTCTGTTGTAGTAGGCGAGGGCAGCCGATATGAGGGCGAGCAGGGAGACGAGCTTGAGAGCCAACTTCTTCCTCTCGTCATGCCAGGGCTCGGCGGCGAAGCGCAGGAAGCAAGCCACATCCTTGGCGCACTGCGACTTGGTGGCGGGAGTGCCGTCGCTGTACTCCAGCACCTGCATGAGTCGTAATTTATTATTGAACACAATTCACTATACAGGAGCTAGTGAGCAATGGGTCAATACCGTTTTACATGGTTCACTATACAGGAGCTAGTGAGCAATGGGTCAATACCGTTTTACATGGTTCACTATACAGAAGCTGGTGAGGAATGGGTCAATACCGTTTTACATGGTTCACTATACGGGAGCTAGTGAGGAATGGGTCAATGCCGTTTTACATGGTTCACTATACAGGAGCTAGCGAGAAATGAGTCAATACTCTTTTACATATGGTTCACTATGGACGTGAGTTTGACTGGACTAGACTTCTTATTGAAAATCTGTACAAAATCTAACCTTGGTCTTGAATACATGGAAAAAGCGGGATAATTAGAATAAACTATATTATAAATTAAATAGGTTATGAATCGGCATAACTGTAAACCTAAACTAGTGTGGCGACGCGCCTCGAGTTGAGATGATAGAAGAAGAATTCTAAGTTTGAGGACGATTACCAAGGCAAATTACAGAATTCGAAGCAAAGGACCAACAACGTCACAGGCATCGAATGAACAATTCACTTAGTCCAAACTAAAGTTGTAAATGAACCGCTGTTAATAATGCCTGTATCTTAAGAGTCCATTTAATATTTATCTGTACCTTCAAATGACAAAAATAAATATAGAGAACAGTTTGAGCATAATAAATTTTCGCCTGAGATCACTAATCTGAAGTCAATCTCTATTCCCGTTTGATGAAAAATAAGCCGCCTAATCTTTGCAAACCGCGCCGGTTACTTTCAAAATTCAAGTTTCCACCAGCATTCCAGTCAACCCCGCCTAGATTTCAACTATTGAAACACGTAGATTGCTGAGAAATCAATGAATTGCCGACCAAATCTTCATCTGAACAATCAAAATGTTTTTCAAGGTGAAACAGAACACACGTGTGCCGACTATGTGGAATTTACTCAATTTCAGCAATGAGTCTTCAACTCAATTTAAATGCACAACTGGTGCGCTGGAATTTATTGAACAATTGGGATGATTGTGAATTTTTCCATGCAGCATAAAGTCACGTTTTCCCGGCCTAATAAAATACAGAAGTCTCCAAAGGTTGGTATAATATAACAATATATTAATATTAATGATGCGAGACTCACTTCGTTGTAGAGAGGAGGAGGCATGGCCAGAGCGCCTCCTCGGAAGTAGGGGTTGAAGTAGAGACCTTCGTCAACCTGGAAGCCCGCGGGTGGATCTTGGTACCCAGTTAGCAGGGCGAAGATGTAGTTCTGCTCACAAAATAACCGAGGAATTATTTTCAAATTTTCCTTAACATTCAGTTTGCTGACTTTAATTGTATGACCAAAAGTATCCTAACTGAAGAAACCAACATACACTAAGACGTCTAAACTAACAGGAGTTACAAACATACATTAACACTTTGACTCGGATTGCTTCATCTTGTACTATTATTTCACTTTTTGTACTGTTTTTAAACAGGGTTGCCAGACGGTCATTTTTTCCGGACAAATTCGGTGATTTAGTTTTTCTCAATTGCGTTGGCCGGCTAACATTTGTTATAGGGGTTCTTCCTAATTAAATTTTAAATACTGAAAAAGAAAAATGGAATTTTTATAGCGGAACCTACAAATAAACTAGAATATATTAAGTTATCGGCCTTTTTTGTTATCGGATTTGGCCGATTTTAGGCAACCTGAATTATGTACCACTACGTCCTGGAGAAATACATTTCGTGGTACACATATGTACCACTTCGGAGTCAACGTGTTAAGACGTCCAAACTAACAGGAGTTACAAACATACAGTAAGGCGTCTAAACTAACAGGAGTTACAAACGTACAGTAAGGCGTCTAAAATAACAGGAGTTACAAACATACAGTAAGGCGTCTAAACTAACAGGAGTTACAAACATACAGTAAGGCGTCTAAACTAACAGGAGTTACAAACATACAGTAAGGCGTATAAACTAACAGGAGTTACAAACATACAGTAAGACGTCTAAACTAACTGCCGTTACAAACATACAATAAGACGTCTAAACTAACAGGAGTTACAAACGTACAGTAAGGCGTCTAAACTAACAGGAGTTACAAACGTACAGTAAGGCGTATAAACTAACAGGAGTTATATACATAAACAGGAGTTACAAACATATACTAAGACGTCTAAACTAACAGGAGTTACAAACATACAGTAAGCGTCTAAACTAACTGCCGTTACAAGCATACAGTAAGACGTCCAAACTAACAGCCGTAACAAACACAGAAATTGTGTGAGTAATGCGGTGCTCTCTAAACCCAAACCGACGGAGGCCCTCACCTCGTATCCGTGCCTGGCAAAGGTAATGAGCCCGAGGTCGGGGGGAGCCTTGCCCCCATTGGCGTAGGCGGCCGCCTGCTCGTTGGGGTAAGGCTTGGGCAAATAATCGGCCGTCTTGCCAGGCCTGTTGTACATCTCGCCCTCGTCGTTAGGACCGTCCAGGTACTGCAGGCAACAACATGGAAATTAGGTAATGTTATTCACTTATCTCACACATAGCTAGACCTAGACGAGACGTTTTTGATATAAAATTCAATCAGAAGAACGCAAAAGTATTAGCAGGGTTCTGAAATGGTAATTTCAAAGCTTTCATGGAATACAAAATAACTAAAACAGAATAATTGTATTCCCAAAACTCTTGATGTAAACTTAATTCAAAAACATTGATTGTAGATGCTAAACAAACTTAAAACTTTGGGAAAATAGTGAGCATTACTGAAAAATAAATCTTGTAGGGTTCGTTTTCTAGCATTGCTTGTTTGGCATTGATATTGCTGAAAGGAGTTAACTTGTTACCTCAATATAACGTTTCAATGTATGAATGTTCGTTGCTAACCTTGCTGCTGTAATAAAAGTTGGTACATCAGTTATATCTGTAAGATTGAGAGGCGTAAGCGGTACTCACGGTGGCTCTCTTGGCCTCAGCCTTGGCCTCTTCTGGCGTCATGCAGACGTTCCTGAGCATGCGGTAGGCGACCGTAAAGCAACCATGGCACGCGGCACACACGTTCTTGTAGACCTGTGCACAACACGGCCATTATACAGCATCATTACATAGTGGTCTGTACAGTAGCATCAGTACAGAGTGCTCTGTACAGTAGCATCAGTACAGAGTGGTCCGTACAGTAGCATCACTCCTGACATCATAGGGACATTCTAAAGGTAGCTCTGGCAGCTGATGTTACCTCATAGCCCCGCCTGATGCTCTTGACATCATAAGAGTCAAGGAAGCCCTCATGGGGCCAGTGGAAGTGGGGCGCGTGTGCAAAGCGATCAGCATCGGCCGCTGACACAGCACGCTCCAAGGACAGCGCCAGGCCCGCCCCTCCTGCCCCAGCCAGACCCAGTAGCCCAAGTGCCTGCACAGATCATGCGGTCAGGGCTACCAGGCTCAGGGTACAATTATGGTAAAGAACATGAGGGATGGATGTTATGGTCCAACAGAGTTATTAAACTTAGAAGAGGGAACACATCTGAGCGGAGTTGTGGTACAAATTGAGCTATGGTAGGAAAGAAATCTCAGTGAAGTTGTGGCAGAAAACACATTTGAGTGGAGGTGTGGCAGGAAACACATCTGAGTGAAGGTGTGGCAGAAAACACATCTTAGTGAAGTTGTGGCAGAAAACACATCTTAGTGAAGTTGTGGCAGAAAACACATCTGAGGGAAGGTGTGGCAGAAAACACATCTTAGTGAAGTTGTGGCAGAAAACACATCTGAGGGAAGGTGTGGCAGAAAACACATCTTAGTGAAGGTGTGGCAGAAAACACATCTGAGGGAAGGTGTGGCAGAAAACACATCTTAGTGAAGGTGTGGCAAAAAACACATCTGAGGGAGGGTGTGGCAAAAAACACATCTGAGTGAAGGTGTGACAAAAAACACATCTGAGTGAAGGTGTGACAAAAAACACATCAGAGTGAAGATGTGGCAGAAAACACATCTGAGTGAAGATGTGGCAAAAAACACATCTGAGTGAAGGTGAGGCAAAAAACACATCTGAGGGAAGGTGAGGCAAAAACACATCTGAGTGAAGGTGAGGCAAAAACACATCTGAGTGAAGGTGTGGCAGAAACATGTGAGTGAAAGTGTGGCAGAAACATGTGAGTGAAAGTGTGGCAGAAACATGTGAGTGAAAGTGTGGCAGAAACATGTGAGTGAAAGTGTGGCAGGAAACAGATTTAAATTAAATTGTGGAGAGAATAAATCTGAGCAAAGTTATGCACTGAATCAGTGAGTGAAGTGATGAGCAAAAATTTATGAATACTGGATTTGATTACATAGATAAAATGTTATCAAAGTAAAGGGCTTTAAGAAAGGAAGTTCAAGTTACAAATAGAGACAAAAAGACATAGGCTTTTTACTGTCCAAAATATAAAGCAATAAAAAAACTAATCAAAAATTGATGATGCAAAAAATAAATTACGGCTAATGATAAATAATTATCATTCTTAAATGAATGACTACCAGTGAAGAAAATTCAGGAGTTGCTGCACTGCATTTGAAGCAAGTAAATATCATATAGAAATAAAAATTATGCATAATAATACCCATCATTGATTTAGATGAAAGTCGATATGAGGCACACTTCACTTACCAGTCTCCGAGAGGAGGACAAATTTCTGAATGTGGACATCCTGGTCTGCAAAGAAAAAATAGTTAGGACAGCTGTAACATATATGTAGTTATCAATTTTTCCAATTACCTTCAAATTCTGGAACTAATCAACAGGCTTTCAATCTACTTAGTTCATACATCTATAGGTATTTATTGATAAAGTTGATCAAACAAGAAGCTTGGAAGCAATTTTTAGGTTCAAAATGAATTCAACTATCCCACTAAGAACTTCTAGTTCAGAATGCTCAAGAAGATTATTGTAACTGCTGGTTGGTTATTTTAAATGTGTAATCTAATATTTAACCAATTTCATCTGAATAATTGCTTAAGTTGGTAATGACTTGCCTTCAACAATCATCTGAAGTTCTGAACTGATCTTTAAATGTATTGCAAGTTGATACCCTTGTATATACATGGTATTTTTTGTTTAATTTATCTCCCAATAGTGTATATCTATCAAGTATCAACTAAACAGGTGAATTAGCATCTATACTTAGTCAAATAGAATAATATAAAAGGTGAAATGGTCCACATACACAGGCTTTTTTGGTGTATGATGGAGAGCTTCTGCACTATTTTCCAGGTGGGATTGAAAAAATACACAATTAAACCTCAAGATTCTAAATTTAACAAAAACTTGTGATTCTAGAGCGTAAAAAATCAAAATTGTGCAGCAGAACTTCAATAAAATTATACAGCAGAACTTCACTAACCTTAAGCACAGAAAGTTATGGCTTAATTAAATGTAGATTCTGCACCTAGTGTGGAATTCTAGATGGGTATTAAATTAACCAATTTATATAGCATATTGGAATGGCCATCACATTACCAATCACAGTCTGGAGTGGATGACATCACAATCAATAACAGCCTGGAGATGAAAATGCATCTGCCCAAAAAAGACAGAAGATGCACTATCCTAGAATTCCACACAGTCTGGGCTATTTCCAAAATTGGCTTACATTTCATTATGATGGAACACACGACAACAAGATCCCTTTTTCAGAGCCAAAATATCAGCAGTTAAGATTGAGGATTTGTAACTAACAGTATTATATTGCTCTTATTCTTCAAGATTTTTGACAATAAATACCTTGCCAACAGTGCATCAGCAATGACCTTCAGAACTTTTTGCTAACTTTCTTTAATACCAAGTTCTCATTTCTGAACAGAAAAACCAAACACTACTGTCCATGGCACATGAGTCACATCAGTTGCCACTTGGAATTTTGGCAAAAACTGCACATACCTCATAATAAATTCAGTGAGGAATTCTAGAGGGATATTAAATTAACCAGTACACATAGCATATTAGAAAGCAGCACCTGAAAGCTAGGAAAGGCCAGGAACTCTCCACTTTCAGTCCATTATATTTATATACATATCCTATCCCTTTCCAGCTGTGATTGGTTTTGGTTGATGGAATTGTGATTTTAGAATTTAGCCCCTTTCAGCTTTCCAGCTGCAACAGGTTAATGAAATTGTAATGTTATCTGCTTTCTAGCTGTGATTGGTTGATGGGGATGTTTTGTTTGCTTTCCAGCTGTGATTGATTGTGCCCATAAGCTCCACCCCAAATATGGTACCTATATGTACTACACAAAAAAACTAACTACAGTACTGCCTGTACCAGTACTGGTTAACTTAATACTTAACTTAAACTTGATCAATGCAAACAAAGAGCCTGGACATTTTTCAAAAAATCCATTAAATGAAAAAAAAAATAAAAATATAATCCAACATGAGACATCCATACAATTCTATAACAAATCTGAGCCCTGAGGCACTATACAATTAAAACAGTTCTTCCACTTTTGATCCTCCTTTTCATTTATAGTCAGACTCAGTCCACTGTGCAGAGAGTGGATGAATATTGCAAGATCTTTGGCGACGCTTCAGTAGCCAAATTTTCGCCTTCAGAAGATCTTGCCGACACATTTAGATTGAAATTCTTGCATTTAATATATTTCTCAGTCTTTGGCCAACTATTTAGAAAAAAAGTAAGGTTTCCGGTGCATTGGATGGAATACGATGCAGCAAAGCTTGTCTGGAAATCAGTTGCGATGAGTTCCCGCAAAAAATGTAAACAACATTTTTTCGATTGCGTAGTTTCGGTCACATTAGAGCGGTCAGACTGCTTTATTACATGTTCAGTTGACACTTGCTGTACAATCGGACTGTTTTTAGGGTAAAATTAGTTATTTGGGGTAACACGTGCATGCAACCTTGTAACTAAGTTCGTGGCTTGTAAATAGTTTGTCATTACTCAGCATAAATGGCTTTTCATTAAAAATTACCCGGCAACGCATCTTCAAAATGGCCGGCGACGCTTTGGTCTTAAAAATCCATATATTGGCGACGCTGCATCCACCCTCTGCATAGTGGGACTCAGTCACCTGGTAGATCACTGTTCTAAGGAAAGCTTTCTACCTTGGGTAGAAAGTTTTTTATAAGTGAACTTCGGACTTCCATTCTCAGAATTTCAGCCTTCTGTCACGGCTGTCAGGAAAATTCCAATCCTGTCTAAGATGAGGTCCTCATCTTAGACAGGATTGGAATTTTTCTACTTGTTTCTGAAATCTTGCAGCTCCAGCGTGACAAATTTTTAACACATTTTAAATCTTGCTGCCCAATCATCATCGGCGGATCATGCAGTTTTATTAATTAGATAGGAGGTAATTCATCTGGCAGAAATATCGCAGTTCTAAAAATGGCGACAAAGCTCTAGTCACGGACTTAAAGGTAGATGTTTTTGATACTTGCCTCAGTCTCACCACTCATCATTAATTGTAGGCTAGCTGTAAAATACTAGACAGAACTATAATTTATATGGGTTGGTTAGTGATAACATGACATAGTGACAATTTTAATTCATTCATTAATTCATCAATTCATTTATTAATTCTCAATCCCACATGACAGTGAGTCAGTGACAATTTTAAGATATACCTAATTTGTTTTAGTGGCAATTTCAATTCATTCATTCATCAATTCATTCATTAGCCTAACCCACCCTAATTCCCAATTCCACATGACGTGACAATTTTATGATATCATTTGTACGAAAATTGTACCTACCCAAGAATTTCAGAAAATTCTGCATAATATTCCAGATTCAGATTAGCTTTACAGTTTTACTCTTATACCTAACTTACATGTTATTCTTATAGCCTAGGACTCATAAATCTTTTAAATGAGCTTGAGGAAGAGTCTAAATATTATTCTGCTTTGCCACTATTTGAAATAGATTAGGTATTTCTATTGGAAGCTGATAACTCAGGTGCTATTAGCAAGATTAGCAGCATAACTGGCTCTGGCAGTCTGGGCCATTCCAGGTCTCATACAATGGCAATAGTCGTTGTAATTTCAACGACTTTCGCTGAAGTTATCGACCAATTTTTTTACTTTACAACGACTTTCGAGCTAAAATAATAGGTCATTTATCTTTTTCAACGACTGCCAACTAATGGGACTCTTCCACAATAAACTTCTGACGACTGCCAACAAGCGACGTAGCGAGACCCGACAAGATACGACTGCGGTACTGACTAAAACCCGGACCCCAACAGCGCATTACGAGCGGCGGATGTAAAATGTTCAGCCCCGGGACAACGCAACCATCATATGTATTGAAGCTTGCAAAAATAATCGGACAGATTACGCCAGTGTTTTTTTCCACTTAGAAGCT